TTTATTTATCATCATCTCTGACTACTGGCTATAACTTAAGGGACTTTCCCAACTGCTTGGCTTCCCAGCTTCTTAAACTATTTTCTTTTGTACTTGTGATAAAATATGTAATAATAAATTTGTTACATGTTGCATTTGTTATGAATAGCAAATTATTGATGTGTTTGTTGTTAATTGCCTTCAAGTTAACTTCAATTTAGGATGATGCTATAAATGCATATACACTGTAGAAGTAATGGAGTCTGATGCCACTTGAACTGCCATGGCTCAAGACTATGGAATCATCCGAGTTGCGGTTTAGTGAGGCAACACTATTTGGCAGTGTAACTACAACTCCCATGATTCAATAGTATTGAGTCATGGCAATTAATATGGTCCTAGAATCATAGAATCAAAGAGTTAGAAGAGATCTCATGGGCCATCCAGTCCAACCCCCTACCAAGAAGCAGGAATATTGCATTCAAACTACATTAATTCTACAGTGTAGATGGACCCATTCTGATTTCTTACTTGCAGTCAGCATTCTGATTAATGACTAACCAAGGTATGGAAAACCATCGGCTACTGTATTTCAGTGCCTTCATTACCTACTTTAAAGTCACGTAAATCATCTGTGGTTATCAATTTTGTTCAATTGTAACATTGCCTTTGCACTTTTTTTCTTGACTGTCTTCAGTAGTCACCCCAAGTCTTTGCTATTTTCTACAATGTTAGGGTGTCATCTGCAATCTTAAACTGTTGATGTTCTTTCCTTATGTATGATACCCTCAGTGTACAAGTGAAAACAGGATGATAAAAGGAAACTGTGCCTGATTCCTTGGCAGTTGGCCTGGCAGGTACATGTTTCAATATGCCACGCAAACATTTTGAGAAAAAGTCTAATCTCTTGCATCCACGCACTTTGTCAAAAAGGGTGGCTACTTAAACATGTACCTGCATTTCCCAGCTGATGTAAGATACATATAGTGTTACATGTCTACCTGAGCAGGACTGGCTGGTTGATCCATTGGCATGAGTCCACTTGGATTTTATTGAGTTGAATGGAAACTCTGTTGTCCATCTGATTGAAAGTGGCATGCTGTGCAAGGCGGATCTAATTGGCTTCCATTTTCAGTGTCCAGGATCCACCAATTGAATTTTATCTTGCAGACATTGAGAATGTATTCATTTTTAGAGGGTGGTGGTCAGTTGTTCTAGCGTTGGTCTGCATTTTGCCCGCTATGCTGGTAAGTTTTTTCCTGAAAATTCACCACCAAAATTAAAAGAAAGCAAGGTTGGAGGGGGGGAGGGCTGGATAAAGAACCATGGTTTTGTTACAAAAATAACTTCGTTATTTCGACAACTGACATGGAGAAGACAGCTCATAACTGCTTGTTGGCCAACTCACTTGCGTAGGCTGCATAGTTCTCTAATGAAACATTTGAGTACTGAGTCATTTTCTTATTTGGTTATGTGGTTCTGATTATAATTCAGCAGTCACATATGACACTTGAGCATTTCCCCAGTTTTGAAGTGAGTTTAGTTCTTTACTTCTAAGGAACTGGAGTTTAATTTTCAGTGTCATCCAGTTTATGACTCTCCATCTTTTGTTCTATCCAGAAGATTTTCTAACAAACATGACAATTAGGATTCTGGAGGATGCAGTCACCAAAATTATTTTTGTAAGTTCTAGTTCTACCTGACAATGGCATGGCAGGACATTTTGCAAATTGATGTCAGAAATTGCTCTAGATTTCTGATGTCATTTTGAAAGTCCATCCTTTGGAAAAGTGGAAAGATGAAGGGTATTATTAATAGATGGTGCAGTGGGTTAAAGTGCTGAGCTGCTGAACTTACTGACCGAAAGGTTACAGGTTCGAATCCGAGGAATGGCATGATCTCCCGCTGTTAGCCCCAGTTTCTGCCAACCTAGCAGTTTGAAAACATGCAAAGGTCAGTAGATCACTAGTTACTGCTCTGATGGGAAGGTAACGGCAGTCCATGCAGTCATGCTGCCCACATGACCTTGGAGGTATCTACGGACAATACCGGCTCTTTGGCTTAGAAATGGAGATGAGCACCAACCCCCAGAGTCAGACACGACTGGACTTAATGTCAGGGGAAAACCTTTACCTACCTTTTCCTTAGCAGTTAACTTACATGATAAATCCTTCCTCCTTTTTCTGTAGCCACTTTAAACTCAAGGACATAAGCAAAACCAAAAACAAAACTTTCAAGATAACAGAAATCTGTTTCATCAGGGGAAAGGTTATATGCTAACCCTCTCCTTGATGACAGCTTACAGGGAGTATTTTATGGGGAGGGGGAACAATAGGCTTTTACAATGTCTACTCCCACTTTCCTTGATGTGGAAATCTGACTGATAAACCACGTGAGTATGAGGCAGAGTCTGATTCTGAAAGGGGAAGAGGTGAGGGACAAGATAAATGACGCAGCTGTAGGAAAATGGCCAGGAACTCTATATAAAGTCTAAAGCAGAAAGTCAAAATTAGGCTGCTATGTGGAGTGACTCTGGGGGGATATTCAGCTGTGTTCCCACTTGGTGACTGTGTTATTCATAGTTTCTTCCCCGACTGCTCTAGGTAGCCCTCCCCTCCTTGCTCTTCTAGTGATCTTAATAGCTGTTCCACAATCACTTGATGCCAGCTGTTACTGTGAGGAGTGTCCATGCTTTTGCTCTTGCTAATCTATGCTGTGCAGAAGAGTTGTATGGAAGAGGGTGCACCTGTCTTACTTTATGGTGACAGGAAAATCTCCCTGTTGTGGGTTTTTTAGGCATTAGCAGCTGTTTCTAGCACTGACTCTGAGGCCGCCCTGAAGGGGCAACGGCAAAGACGTTGGTACCAGTGGGTGTTCTGTAACAAATTCCACCAATTTCGGTATATTTTGTTGCAGCAGTATTGAATGTTGAAGCAACTCTGGACTTGAGAAGACACTTAGAGCCAGCTGTGCAGAGGGTGGGAAAATATTACATTGCTCTGTCGTCATGCAGGGTGTGGAGTGAACAGAAGTCTGCAAATAACCTGTTGGGTTCAAGCCTCACCTCTACCACCTCTGCCTTCTGTCTCTGTGGGTGGTGGGTTGCATCATGGTCTCACCCTGTTTTCCTGTTTGTGAAAGGAAGGCAACATTGGCAACAAGTGCTACTGTGCTAATCCTTTCAGTAAGAGGTTGAGGCTGAACAAAAGGAGACCATGAGAGTGATGGTGTGTCACACGCAATCTAGTATTCCCATCCACTTTCTAATCAGTTGGGCTATGTGGTTGAGGCTCACGAGTTGTTTACACTGTGCACACTCACTATCATCAGCCAGCTCTCTCTTGTCATGCTCTCTGTTAATCCTGTGCTTCTGTTATCTCTGGATTTCTTTACCTTGTGTCCATCATCTCATTTATATCTTCTTCTAGAAATAAGAAGGGTAGGGCAGCCAAATATTGATACTCAAAAGTTTCTGTATTTTCAGAAAACCCTTACAAATGAAAGTAATCGATTATTTCATGGATATTTCTAGTGTTAGAGTGATCTATGAGCAATCAGACTTAACGGCCTCACTATGGCTTGAACTATGGTGTCTCCCCAATTGGGGAGTTTAGTTCACAACCCTGTGTTTCTTTATGAGCTCCCTGCAAATAACTTGCTCCTATTCTTATCTCATTAGAGTTTTTAAACATTTTATCCTGTACATGTGGCCCGTCCACTGTCACTGCAATTGTGTTTATTGTGATGTTATTTTGTTACTGTATTCATTTTTTCTCATGTAATTTTGATGTTGTTGCTTATTGTTTATGTTTTGGTTTTTTTTGCTGTAATATGTTGTCCAGGCTTGGCCCCATGTAAGCCGCTCCGAGTCCCCATTGGGGAGATGGTGGTGGGGTATAAATAAAGATTATTATTATTATTATTATTATTATTATTATTATCATCATCATCCCCATGGGATTTCTGGGTTAACTCATGTGGATGATACCAGGTTGAGAATAGTCAGCATTATGAATCTGTGTAGCTTTCTTTGAGGGAGCATGTTATATATTGAAAAGTATCTGCTGAAATTACACTCAGGCTTCTCTTGACTTGCTTTTTTGTTATCCTTAGGTTTAAAACCCCTCTGATATGGGTTGTCACTTACTAAAGTTGTTTTTTTTTTCCAGTGAAAATTTCTTTGCATGGTAATTTATTTTCTTGGCTTATATTAAAAGAGACAACAAGGTCCAGTGAAGAGAATAACGGGCCTTATATTAAGATGTACTGATTCCCTTTAAGATTAGCTTTGCTACTTTCCTTGTGTTGCAGTGTTACGCATAGTTTGTGTTAAAAAGTGATTAAAAATGGCTGCTTGTTGCTTCTGTGAAATTGATACGACTACATTCAGACATATCTTTATGAAAAGGTTATTCGGCCTCATTTGCATAATTTTATGCGAGGTCTAGATATGGTTGGTTCCCATTTGTAACCTTCCCGTGTTTTCAATCGGAAAATTCACTCACCTATAAAAGATAGAGTGGGTGCACTATTTCTTCATATATTGCTAAGTAGGGGTTGCATATCTTATACGGGAAATGATGTTCCATCTGAACATTAAAAACATCCTGACAGTAAGATCTGTTTGACAGTGAAATACCATATGCTGCCTTGAACTATGTAGTGGAGTCTCCTTCACAAGCTGGAAAGCGTTAGGCTCCTTTTTGTTTCCTAGCTTTGAGAGAAGTAAGGTGTCTTTAGGGACAGTTCACATTTTTAGCCTTTTTGTGTTAGCCAAAAATAAAATGTGGGAGAAGTATGCATGTAGTGTACTGATTCACTTATCAGACACTGAAGTCAGCCGCAGTTGTCTGTCAGATGAATTCTGAGTTGTAAACTGTCGTTAATGCTACACAACATGTGGAAATGCACTTAAATTAGCTTTGGGGGTTGAGGGTAGAATAAGATTTGTGGCACTTTAAAGGTTAATAGATTTTGCAAATTCTGATGGATGTTCTTTCTTTCTTTGGCTTTTCCTGCAGAGTGGCCTCTGGTTATGCTTCACCTTCCAGTGGAAAGTTTGGATTACTCTGTCAATTGGATTTGATTGAAGATCAACAAAGCCTGGATTCTTGGGATTACAAATCTCTGATATCCAGTCGGGAGACAGCATACTGGAGTAAATGTAGCTGGACTGCCTGCCATGCACCCCATGGGGAGTGTAGATGCCACCTTTTCACGTTCTGCTGTGCAAACCCTCTCTCGCAGCCATTGCCGGAACATAAAGCAAAAGATCTCTCAGTGGGAGGGGCGGACAACAGGGGACTGCCAGGAGGAGAGGCAGAAACCCAAGGACTTTGGGGTCAAGTATGGCCAGGACAGCAGGAGGAAGCCAATAGGGCTAGCAAATGTTCAGAGTCTCGGCTTAGATTTCCGAGAAAATTCTCTGCTCTGCTCTGTGACAGAGGAAGATGACGAGAGATTCCAAGAGGCTTCAGAGAGCCCAAGGATTGGGCAGCTCCTCGATGGCATTTTGACTGAAGAAGAGGTCAATCCGAACTGGCAAGGGGAAAGGTTGCCACCAGGAAACTTCTATACCTCACGGGACCTTTGGAAACAGTTAGAAACTTTTCCATCTGTAGCTTTGGATTTGAAAGAGAGTTGGGAAAGCTGTGGTTCAACAGAGAAAGTCCTGACAGTGCCTCCAACAAAGAGCTCGGAGAACATCTACTGTGACGTTGAGGGCCATGAGGAGCGGCCACTAGCCATCAATCCGGTACCCAAACCACGAAGGACTTTTCGTTATCATTCTGAGAAGGACCATCAGAACTGCTCTAATGTAGGCCACATTGAGAGGAAACCCCCTGAACCTCATTGCAATGGCAGCTGCTCTCGAGCAACTTCCCACGACCCAGAGCAGAAAGTGGCCAGCCGGGGAATCCGAGGCAGATCCAAAAGGTGGGTTATCAGTTTATTTTCATTTTCATTTATTTATTAAATTGATGATATAGTCTTTTTGCACCAGTACTGATCTAGCACTAATTTTATCTCTTCTATAAATAGCCATATGGCAGAAACAGTGCAAGAGCATAGCCTTTTTTTCTATTGTCATTGATTTTGCCGGTTCATTAAGAGCAGTCAAAATGCAGGGAAAAGAATCCATCAGTATTAATGAAAAAGATGTTTTCCACCTTGAGGCATATATTTCCCATCTTGGCAAGGGGCAGGTTAGGCAGCAAGTGAATATTCTGGGCCAACTTCCAGGTGTAGAGCCACTATTTACCAAAGAGTGTTATCGTCTTTGACTTTCTTGCATGGAGATTTACAAATTTTGCGTTGGAAGCCACATGTAATCTTGGATAAACATATAGCTGGGTTGCATGAATGTTTTGTTGTATTTGCAATGAAAGGGAAAGCAAAAGAAATGCTTGAGCCATAGAGGTTTTGTTTTCCAGCTGTTCCTAATATAAAACACATGATGTGAGTAGCTAGAGCTAATTCTGGGCAGAGGGAATTGCCATAAGTGTATCTCCATTGGATTATGGCTTTTGCAATTTGAGTGAAAGTAGATGTATTTTCATGTCTTTCCTCCACATGTATTTATTCATGTTGTAGAGCAGTCTTTTTCAACCTAGTGCCTTCCAGATGTGTTGGACAGTAACTTCTATCATACCTAAACAGCCTGGTCATATGGAGAACACCAGAATTGAGAATGCTGATATAGAATCAATAACGGCTGTTTATTCATTTAGTGTGCATGAATGGCTATGAGAGATTCTGAATAAAAAGAACCCCCCTGTTTTGTTTTGTTATTATACACCTGGCTAATGAAAGTTGAACTTTTTCAAATGGTGTAGAATATTACCTTTACTCAAATAGCTAGAAAAAATGTTTTTTGTGCCCAAACATAAAATAAACCTTTCAATTAGCTCCGTTTAGTGCAATAAAGCCTTAACAGAAGATAGGAGATGGATAGGCTGTGCTACGTCGTTGCATGTGAGGCTTACAAGATTGCTTTGTTTGCAGAAAGTCATTTGAGTTTGAGGACATTCAAGGTTACCGAAACCGACTCGCAGCCATGGAGTTCCAAAAACTCCACGAGGAATTGAATGGCACCACAAATATCCGCCTCTATTGCACACAGTCAGAGGACAACCTCTATGAGGACATTATTGGTAAGTTTTTACATTATTTGAAATACATTTATCTGCTACTTCACTGGCTCTTTGGGTTGCCAGGGTTAAGCTGTAGATCATTATTAATATGTATGTAGCCCAGGTATGGGCAAACTTCGGCCCTCCAGGTATTTTGGACTTCGACTCCCACCATTCCTAACAGCCTCAGACCCTTCCCTTTTCTCCCTCAGCTTCTTAAGCTGTAAGCCTCATCTTAAGCAGCTGAGGGGGGAAAAGAAAGTGCCTGAGACTGTTAGGAATGGTGGGAGTTGAAGTCCAAAACACCTGGAGGGAGGGCCCAAGTTTGCCTGGTCTAGCCGCTAAATACTTTTTTTCTTCTGGAAAGCACTAGATGGAGGAGAAAGGTGAAAGTTTGTGTATGTTGCCTCATTACTTTTTCTTGCTCCCATTTTCACATAACAGTAAACCAGGATCCCTGGTTTATCTTGGTTTACTGTCAAAAAGCTGCTTGCTCCTGCAAACTTTGCTGTTGGTTCACAAACATTGTTGTCTTTGGAGTCAAGAAATCATGCTGTCACTTCAGATGTGTCACAAAAATCTCAATGTCTGGTTTATTTATCTGCTCATGTATCAGGAAGAGACGGCATCGGAGCAGAATAAACATAATTACTTGTACATGGAGCCCATTTTAATAAACCAGGATAAAATAGAAATCCTGTTTATTATGTGTTATGATCACCTTTCCTAGTATTCCTCTTCTTTCATTCTTGCTTGCAATAGTTGATGTAAGATGTAGGTTTCGTTCATTTCCTCTTTTTCCCTCCTCTCTCTCCCTCCCTCCCTCTTTTTTTTCTGCCAGCAATTGTGATAGCGTTGGTGCTCTCTCCCTCCACCTCTCACTTTCAAAACGCTTTTTTTCCCTAGATCCTGCGAAGGAGAACCTGTATGAGGATATCAAAGTGAAGCCTCTTTGGAGGATCCCTTCTGCTTGGAAGCTGCCTCCACCCCGTAACACCATCAAGCCACCCAAGGTAAAGACACATTTTGACAACTTCTCTGCGTAGCACTCTTGCCTACAGATGAAAGAGGGAAGAAAATATTTAGCTCAGTGAAAAAGCTCATAGTCTGCTTATAAGACTTCCTAAGTTGAGTTTGCAGAATTTTCATAGTTGAAAAAACTCCTTCTGGAAACTCTAGAGCCCTGCTGACAATCAATATTAAACATACTGAGCTGTTCAGTCCATTGGTCTGATTTTGCATATGGCAGCTCCCCGTGTTCCCATTGGGGTCCATAAGTCTGAAATTCCTTCACAATTAGATGGTCACTTCACTTAGGCTAAGGCCTTTTCCAAGGCACTTCTTTACAAAATTCTGATTCAAAATTCTCTCCCTGCCCCAAAAATTCACTTTCTGATTTTCACGTGATAAATTAGTCACTATTCTGTCTTGAAATCATTTGAAGGAAGAAACTGATCATCACAATGCTACCAGGTAAATTCACTACCAGCATTATCCAACTTCAGTATTTTTCCAGAGATTAAATGTATGCCTAGTGAATGAAGCTTGTTTGTTGAAAAGGAGGAAGAGCTTGGGGTGAATGCTTTTTTGCACATGGAAGTAGGAAAGGGAATAGTGAAACTTGTTGTTGAATTTTGATAAAAGCTTTTTTTCTTCAGGCCACCCATGATTGTTTTTCTCCTCAAAGATTCATGGGTTTCTGTGCAGCCCATTGCAAACCTTCTTGTGGATGTGGGACTTTTGTAGTGTTTGAATTAGATTAGAAAAGGGAAATGTTCAAGGGTCCATAGCAGTAGTTCTCAACCTGTGGTTCCCCAGATGTTTTGGCCTTCAACTCCCAGAAACCCTAACAGATGGTAAAATGGCTGGGATTTCTGGGAATTGTAGGCCAAAACACCTGGCGACCCACAGGTTGAGAACCACTGGTCTGCATGCTGATATTCCACCTATATCTTTCTAACCCACAATGTACTGCATCACCCCCTCTACTGCTGGTCCTAAAAATAGACCAAATTAAAAAGAAACCAATAAGGTACATAAGAACCATGCATTTTTTGTTTAAAGATGGACAGTTGAGTAGGGTCCAACAGCCATATCTACCCACTTTTTCAGAGCCTAAATACCCTAAAAGACCCAGCTCACATTTGATCTGAAACTAAGGAGAGGCAGCTTTGGTTAGCACTTCTCTGGGAAACTGTTACTTTTAGAGGTAGGAACTAGCAAAATTACTTGTTGAGTATTTCTTGCCTAAGAAAACCCAATGAAACTCATGAGGTTGCCATAAACTAGCAGGCAACCTGAAGGCATATGTACACACCTGCTCATTTTGTTTCAAAACTGGAAGTGATGAAAAGTTTATTTCTGGTTTTAGGAGGAAAGGTGTATTTAGATACAAAATGACCTGCCAGCCAGCGATAGCCTTAACATTGAAAATCATGAAATCTGTAGAGATTTTGTTCTCTCGGTGGGTTGGGACAGGTTTTTCAAAGCACCCAGTTATTTAGCTATTGGGAGGATTGGCAAATGGTAGTGCATAGAATGAGAATGATGATTAATATGCTGCATGGGGCCTACAGGGTACATCCCTCTGAGAGAGAGAGGGAGAGAGGGAGAGAAATAATGAGATCCACTTGTACTGACTTGCTTGGCATTTTGTAGCATTTAGCCTTTATAATAAATAAATGTATTGTAAAATATAGGAAAACAGACAAGGAGATTTCCATGCTTATGCTGTTTTCCCCATGAATTATTTCATCCTCTGTTTTGATTGTTCTTCCATATTGTTTCTGCCATAAAAACCAAGCAGTCTACTGGCAAAACTCTGTTTTACAAATTGTGGGAACATGTCTTCATCCAGTTCCTAGGAAAGCATTTGCTCATTCTCCTTTTTCTCCACTCTCCCTTTCCATTTCTCCCTGCTTTCTTCAGCTTCCCCCAAAACCACACTTTCTTCATCGCAAAACCTTAGAACTAAAAACCACCCGGATCTGCCTGCGTGGGAAGCTGGCGAAAGACACGACTCTCCCCGTTACGCTGACCGAATGGAAGTTCTTCAAAGCAGGCGAGGCTGGAAGCAGGAAGAGGAAGAATCTTCCCCGGGTAAAACAACATATTAATATTTTTGTTGCTGGGCAGATGCAGTTCTCTTTCCTCTTCCCTATCGTTCTCCTCTGAATGTCACAAGCATCTTTGAGGTAGTTCTTGTTGATCACTTTCCTATTCCAGTGTGTGGAAAAGTTCCCTTCTCAATAAATTCCCAGGTAGTAGTGTGTGGAAAAAAATCTCTCCTTTTCTGAACGACAAGTTATAGAATCTCAGTTCTAGGATTTGTAGTGCAAAAACCCACATACTGTCCCAGAAGCTCCAATCCAGCACATCTGCAGAAAAGGGGAGTATTTTTTCAGACACTACTACCTGTACCTTTCTGTTTCATAATCCTTTTGATTTCATTGATCACACTTGTAAGATGCGTCTACTAGGTAAGCTTAGGAAGCATCTGAACCCTCTCTTTGCTGGTACACTCCCTAATTAACAGTGCAGATAGAGCATTGCTCATCCAGAATTCCAAATCTGAAATCGTGAAGATTTGAAATTACCCATACAAATGGCTGGGATAGTGGCACCTTTGTTTGTTTCACACAAATACTGTCTAAAATTACATTCAGCCTGTGCATATAAGGTTTACATGAAGCATAAATGAATTTGGAGTTTAAACTTGGGTCTCATCTCCAAGATATCTCATTATGTAAATGCAAAATCCTGAAATCCAAAATTCTTCTGGTCTCAATAATGTCGCATAAGGAAAACTCAACCTGTACTAAACAACTCAACCTGTACTAAACAACCTGTACTAAACAACCTGTACTACAACCTGTAACTAAACATGATACTTATGTTGTCTTTTTTTTCTAGTGGGCCATCAAAACTATTTTGCTCTTTCTGTGTAATGAGTTAGTTTGCAAGAGTTCTGTTGTCAGAGATTATCTAGCAAACTTCATGTCTGAGTAGGGATTTGACCCTGGCTTTGCTTGGGGTGAATCTAGCACACTGTGGAAGTTTTCGTTTTCTTCTTTGAAAGACGTGCTTCTTTTTCAAATATACACTGCACTGATGTCTATTCGAAGGAGTGTAATATGTGATGTGTGCTGGAACTTGCCCATAAAATGAGCTGGAACTTTAATTCCACAGTATTCAAAAACTGTAAGCTAATTTTAAGTTATCTGATCCATGTAAAGGCTTAAAAACGTTTTTGTTGTTTATTGAGGTCAAGATCATGCTCTTGGAATTTTGGCAAGGAAAATGTTCCTTCAGTGCCATGGATCAGGAGAACATCTGGAACTGAGTTTGGCAGGGATTAAATTCACCCCTTTGTTTATCCGGGTGCTGCTGTCCCATTCTAGCAATATGGGGCAATGTGTGATTCATACACACAGTTATTTGCATTTGTTCAGTGGGGTTTTTTTTTTTTTTTTTTACAAAGGATCAAAGTGACCCCAAGTTCATTTTGTTCCTCCTGGGCTGTCTTTGTAGCTGCTTATTCCCGACTTAACGTTTGACCTCCAAACCGTTTTGTGGCTTAAAGCTGGTGAATAGCTTGTTAAGAATGAGACTTTCATAAAACATGAAAATAATTTTCCTGACATGCTTCCTGCCACTCCTTCCTGCGAGTGAGTGTGTAGCGGAGATGGATGCATAGTGGACTCAGACAATCATGAAGTGATTGAATTTTAGGCTGCCTACGCATTGAAGAAATTGGACTCTTGTCTACTTGATGCTTTTTAGATCATCTTCCAGATGCTCGTAGTCATTCCTAACAAAGTTCAGAAGGACAAATACACCCTAGTTCTACTAACTAAGTTCCAGTAAGGAAACACTGTAGAGAAGCAGCCACAGTTCAGACATCGTTGCGTATCTAGCCATTTGAACAATAACAATTCACAACCCTGGCATCTATTTGAGCAATATAGCCTAGTGGGAATGCATTTCTGTTATGATTGAGAAAATAATAAGTTTAGGGAAGTGGAGGCTAACAGAGATCCCAAGCCAAGCTTGCTGTGTAAATACACTTGAGTATTACTTTCAGCATGCAAAGCTTATTAGAAACATTCAGCCAGGAATGATGAAATATCCCATATGAGCAACCTTCCTCAGACAAATTGACCTTGCCTAAAGACCCCCAGATTGCCTCCAAAAATATGGGAGTGATTTGCTCAGAGAGGAAGTGCATGTTATTTTCTCACCCTGAACTTGTAGGACTTGGCTGCCGTTACTGGAGGGATGCCCAAACAAGCCAGGAAAACATCTGGGTCAACCCAGATTGAAAAGCATGTGCTGCTATTTCCACCATTCTTATCAGGCCATAAAGACTGGAGGCACCTGAAAGCAACAGTCCAAATAAACGACTTTTCCAAGTTCTAATTCTGACACCATACTTGAATGACTGACACTTGTGGATTCTTGAAACTTCTGCAGGCTTCATAACTGATGGTTCTCTGCTGTCACTGTGTTCGGAGGAGATGAGCATTTTCATAAGCACAGTTGTGTTGCTGATGGTCACACCTCCATAGTGTGTGTTTCCTAGACACTTGTATCTCCTTCTGCCATGCTTTTTATGTTTTACCTATACAAACACTAAGCCGTTGTGTAAATTGTGCAATGGCTTAGCAGAATTAAGATCAAGGCTGGGAAAACTTTGTAGGAGCGGAAAAGAGGCAGAAGGAAGCTCATGGAGGAAACACAGTGCTTCCTGCATAAGGGCAGTAGTGCCCTAAGGTCAAGTCACACTCCATGTGTGCCGCCCTGGTCCTAGGGCAACAGACTAGATCTCCGCAGTTCCTTTTTGCCTCTCTGCTCCTGACCTCGCTTGGGTTCCTTCGGTCAAGGAAAGGGCTGGGGCTATGAGTAGATTTACCTGGTGCGTATGTGCATTTTTGTATTTATGTGCTATTTGTGGTGATCTGAGCTCCACCCTGTTGCCTTTGCTTGGAATGCTGAATACATTCTTAAAGCCCAGCAAGAGAAGACTAGCCTGGATGCTGCATTCAAAATAGTAAGGCAGTTGAGACAAGAACGTCAGCAGGCTTTGACTTGACATGTCGAGGCAAAGAGCTCTCTGCTTGTGGCTTGAGATACCTGACACCTCACACAGTATTAGATAGGCTGGGCTCCTACTAACCCTCACGGATGCCTCTGTGGGGGAGAGGAGAAACCAGTCACTCAAAGTGACGTGTATCTCGTATATCTTACCTTGCCTGCCTAGGAACTGGGAGCCATCTTCCCATCTCTTATACTCATTGAAGTCTGAAGGATTTATTTTTTCCATCCTGTCAAGGAAGTGGTTCTTCCTGCATCCCATCATGCAGGAATTACATTCTCTTTGAAACGATGAGAATTGATTTTCCTAAAAACCTTGGCATACAAGCAGTCCCCGAGTTACAAACAAGATAGGTTCTCTAGGTTTGTTCTTAAGTTGAATTTTAAGTGTAACTCCACCCATGTATGTATGTATGTATGTATGTATGTATGTATGTATGTATGTATAGAGAGGAGGGAGGGGGGACGCTTTGGATAGTATTTTGTTGTTCATTCATTCAGTCGTTTCTGACTCTTCGTGACTTCATGGACCAGTCCACACCAGAGCTCCCTATTGGTTGTCATCACCCCCAGCTCCTTCAATCCAGTCACTTCAAGAATCCCATCCATCCATCTTGCCCTTGGTCGGCCCCTCTTCCCTTTTCCTTCCATTTTCCCCAGCATAATTGCCTTCTCTAAGCTTTCCTTTCTTCTCATGATGTGGCCAAAGTACTTCATCTTGGCCTCTACTATTCTTCCCTCCAATGAGCAGTCAGGCTTTATTTCTGAAGTATGGACTGGTTGGATCTTCTCGCTGTCCAAGGCACTCTCAGAACTTTCCTCCAGCACCACAGTTCAAAAGCAACTATCTTCCTTCGCTCAGCCTTCCCTATGGTCCAGCTCTCACATCCATAGGTGACTATGAGGAATACCATTGCTTTGACTACGCGGATCTTTGTTGCCAGTGTGATGTCTCTACTCTTCACTAATTTATCAAGATTTGTCATTGCTCTCCTCCCAAGAAGTAAGCGTCTCCTGATTTCCTGGCTACAGTCTGCATCTGCAGTAATCTTTGCACCTAGAAATACAAAGTCTGTCACGGCCTCCAATTTCTCCCTCTATTTTCCAGTTGTCAATCATTCTTGTTGCCATAATCTTGTTTTTTTATGTTTACTGCAACCCAGCTTTTGTGCTTCCTTCTTTCACCTTGATTAGAAGGCTCCTCAGCTCCTCCTCTCGTCCATTAAAGTGGTGCCATCTGCATATTTAAGGTTGTTAATGTTTCTTACAGCAATTTTCTCCCCAGCCTTGCATTCCTCAAGTATAGTATATGGAAGGGTTAAGACCCCTGTGGTGTTTGTTTTGCTGTCTGTTTAGAATATTTCACATCACTTTCTTTCTCTTTGATAAATGAACTTCGAACATTTTGGCTTTTTTGTGGAAGCAAGGGTTGGTGAGAAAGCTTCACTGGAGGCATCTTTCCCCCCTGATAACGCCTTCAGGAGTGAATTTTCCTTCCTGTGCTTAGATTTCTATGACTTCCTATTGTCTCACCCCCAGTTTGTAACTTTGTGTTGTGTGTAAGCCAGATGTTTGTAACTCGGGGTCTGCTTGCATTTCGGTTTCAGCATAAAATAGAATATTTTTGTCTTGCTCTTAAAAATTGTGGTGTGGGCAAAAAAGCTAAGTGTATGCCCCAAAAAAGTAGACAATGTATGTTGACAGTGTCCACATGCAACACTTGTTCTGAACATTGCAGATTACTGTATACTTTCCTGTGTTGATCTCATACACCAATGTATGTCATTCAGATTGCTCTTTGAATCAATCATTTTAGCATTAGTGTGAGTTTGACTACCATCCTTGTAAAGTTTCCTACCATAGTTTTGCATAAGAGAAATCTGTGGGTGACAGCCTTTCTAGTCCTTCCAGGACACTTGTCGTGCATGCCTCCCCTTTTAATTTCCACTCTTTTATTTGGATTTCAGCTTGTATTGAAGATACAAGAGATATTTGACTCCAAACGAGGGAAGAAAAGGGTGAAATTGGTGTCACAGACAGGAAAAGAAGTTTCTGTTACAAAAGGTAAAGAGAATGAGATGTGTATATTTCTACTCACGGGATACCTAATATTAGGGAGAAATTACTGTAATAATACATGGAATAAAGAAAATCACAAGTAGTTCATATTTTATCTGTCCACACACTGTCTTGCCAGAGGGAAAAATATGCCATACAAATGATCAATAAAGAACAAGAAGTTTACTGTTTGTAATGCAGAGCAACATATATACAATCATGTGAACAGTTGCATTGACTCACACAATGTCCTTTTAGAAAAATTCTTTTGGTGTCCATGTGGAAAGTCTCCTTCCAGCAGCTCATGAAGCAAGAACACTGTCTCATTCTCTCTCTTGCACTTGCACAGCTCAAGCCTCAAAATGTAACTGTAGCCAAAATTCCCAGGCTGAGCTAGTTCCCCTAGTGTGGCCCAAACAATCAGCTTCGTTCGTTGCATTTTACAGTTAACACACTCACCGACTGATTTCTTACATGCCCTAACATAATAGACAGGACCCCTGAAATTTTGGGTATTGCCTAAAAATACCATAAAACTCTGCTCAATATTTTCTACTTTTTGATACCACCTTTTATTCAAGGACCTTAGGGTGGTGTTGAGGTCTCTATACTAAAATTACAGAAGAAAGAAGTCACACAGTGTCATGTTTTGTTTTATTTTAAAAATATATGCATTACCAGCTACATCTTCCTGTTCTGACATTGCTCTCCTTTCGCCTATTGGTTAATATGCCCTGTAATAGCGGTGTGTTTTTTTTATGTAACTTGCATCCTGCAAATCAGCATTGCAAATTTGTGAAGCAGTATTGAACAATGTATAACGTGGAGCATCCTCTTTGGTGCTTTGTCCTGCACAGCTTAAAAGATGACTGTACAGAACCATGTAATGAGCTTTAGTTGATGGGTGAATGTGTTGTAACAGATGCCTTTTTCTGGCTGTGCCCAGTTTTCATCGCCATGGGCCCCTGATGGATCACCTGCCTGTCAGTTACCTTCCAGCATTTCCTATTCCCACCCATCTAGCAAAATTTGATGGAAACTTTCTATCGTTTCAGGTGAAACCAACGGGTATGACAGCGAACCAGAGAATCTGCCGAAAAGTAAGTGAATGAATGAGTCATTAGGGCAGAGCCAGCTCATGGGCAAAATTATTGCTGCCAGAGCATTTTTGGGCATGCTTGTTGGGAATGGCTGTGTTACACACAGCTTCTGGCCTGTTAGACTTAGGATGATTTGCAGGACAAGAGCCCTTCAAGTCATAATGATATGTTAACTATTTGATTTACTCACAATGAATGTTGAATGGCTGCTTGAGAGGTTTTGGAGTGTATTTCTTCCTGCACCTTGAGGGATATTATAATTTGTTTGCCAGCCCTGCGTACAAAAATCTTGGCACGAGGGTTGTATTCCTAGCATCGCAGTGAGGCTAATAAAAGTTTGGGGTGACTGGCAAGAGAAAATGATGAAGGAATTGGGTTCAGAGCAGGAATTGTTGTTCTGGACTTTCTGCCAATCCCCCAATTTAAAGGGGGGGGGGAAATCAGCATAAGTAAAGGTAAAGGTTTCCCCTGACATGTCCAATTCTGTGGGGTAGTGCTTGTCACCGTTTCTAAGAGAGCTGGTGTTGTCCATAGACGCCTCCTAGGTCATGTGGCCAGCATGACTGCATGGAGCACTGTTACCTTCCTGCCAAAGCAGTACCTATTGATCTTCTCACATTTGAATGTTTTAAAACTGCTAGGTTGGCAGAAGCTGGGCCTAACAGCAGGAGCTCACCTTGCTCCCTGGATTTGAACCACCAGCCTTTCGGTCAGAAAGTTCAGGAGCTCAGCGGTTTGACACACTGTGCCACCGGGGACTCCTCAATTACTTATGTAATAAAGCTAAATATTGACTGTACCATCAGCCCCCCTGCCCCCAAATCAGCATAGCTTTTGTGAATTTACTCCCCACATTGAAAAACCTATGTGGAACCCTCTCAAAATGCATGAAAGCAATTAAGATACCATATTACACACAATATCTGACTTCCTCTGCAGTCCCTCCCAAAATGGTGACAGGAGGTTACATGCAGGGTTTCTTGCTGTTCAGGGACTAGACTACATGATCTTTGAAGTTTTCTCCAGCTCTAGGACTCTGTGAAAGGATTAGCAAGCTTTTCACAGTGAAACCAATTATGGGGCTGTTTTCTTGTGTCTGGTCGCCCATCCCTTCTCAGGGCCTCTCCAGGGCTGCCTCTTGAGAACTCTCCTGCTGGAGCTACAGCCCAGTTATTCCTGTACTGTATTTGCTCCTACAAGATTGTGAAACGCCCTTTGCTGGGAAAGAAGGAGCAACTGGAGTGAAATTATACATAATGGCTGGGCCCTTCATCCAGGGTTTGCATGTAAACACTGGAGGAAGAACAACTAGAGCAACAGGCTCCAAACTGGCTCTGCATCATGAGTCATTTGCACTAGTTGGCACCAATGGCCCTGGACGCACCAGCATTTCCTGATGTTTGTGCCTGGAAACTGTCAGGAGCAAAGCTCTGCCTCTGGCCTGGCCAAGCAACATATTACTACTATCCACCATCAGAAAGTCAGTTATGGTATTTCCCTTGCTTTTCTTCTTGCAAACAGACTTGCAAAGGCAATAACACATCTAGAATTCTAGGTGTTAGAGAGGAACCTAGTTTTAAACAAATGCTTCATTTGTTTGCATCCTGCTTAGTTTGTGTCACTACAGTTTCTAAAATATCCTTTATTTCAGCTTGTTGCTTTTTAGGACTAGAGCTCATGTAATCCCCCCATCCAATAAGGCCATGTTGGTTAGGGGATTTTGAGCCTTGTATTACATCGGAGTCCTTTTTGTACAAAATGGGAGGCTTTGCAATCCCTTAGGGATGCTTTAGCTGTGAATTCCTGCATTGGCAGCGGTTAGACTAAGTGGCCATTGAGATCATTTCCAATTCTACAATTTTATAATAGTTTCCTTTCTGATGATTGGAAGAAAACAAGTTCTGTTCTGATGCAGAATTTTGCTGCTGTTTGTATGCTTTATCTCGGATTGGGCAACATAGCTACATCTTCTACTAAGTCAGTGGTTATTGGGTGTTTTAGCCTTCAACTCCCATAAATCCTAACAATTGGTAAACTGCTGAGATTTCTGGGAGTTGTAGACCAAAACACCTGGGGACCCTCAGGATTGAGAACCACTGTACTAAATGGTTCCATTTTTGTTTGGTTTGTTTTTTGTTAGCTCTGGCCTTGTAGCTCTGTCTCTTCAGTGGAAACTATGCTGTCTCCTTTGCTGTAGCAAATAAAGAATTGCATTTCCATTTGTAGGTCGGCATAAACGCCTCCTGCAGGTACAGAGTCAGTCGAAGAGAAACCCACACTATCAGACGCTGGAACGGGACTTGATTGAGTTTCAGGAGCAGCAGCTTTTTGAGCTCTTTGTGGTGGTGTCTCTACATAGGAAGCCAACAGAGGCAACCTATACCCCTCTGATTATACAGCAGTTTCCTAGCAAGGTGAGTTGCACAATTTGCTTCTATCCTCACTCTGCAAATGTAAACATGCATGCTCTTGCTATATGGCAGTTTGGCCAAGAGAAAGGTGTCCTTCCTCGTATTTCAATGGAAATAATTACTGGTAATGCACATGGCTGGTGGGTATTTAGAATTCTTAGCCAGGGAACAAGAATTGCAACTACAAACTTAGAAATCCATCAGTTGTTGCCTTGGCAGTTAAGGTGGAACCACGGTGCTACAGTTAGGTAGCGAGAAAGACCAGAAGAATTTTCTGCCATTCCATCCTTTCTTGCCCACCACATATGCATACACACACACACATCCTGAGATGAATAGAAGTACATAAACAACTGGACTAATTTGGTGTAACAAACAGCCCAAATTGCCAAAACAAAACCAAAAGTAAAATCAAAGGTAGCCAGAAATCAGCTTTTACATATATATAAAAAATATTTTTTGTATTTGGTAAAACAACATAATCCTCTCCACCCTTATAATGTTTAAATGTTGAATTGCCTCCCCTGAATACTTCCAGAAAAAAGAAATAATCTTCAGTTTGTCTTCTTTTTTGGTAGGGCAGTCCAGCGGATCTGGAGGAATCCATCATTATAATTATTAATTAATTTTATTTCTATTGTGCCTTCTCCACATGGGGATTTATGCCGGCTAACTATCATATGTTATAACTTAATAAACATTTCAAATAAGGCAAATACATTTTTTTAAAAAAACAACAAATAAATATTTGACTGTGAACCGCCTTGAGTCGCCTCTGGCTGAGAAAGGCGGTATACAAATGTGGTAAATAAATAAATAATAAATGGATTTGGATCAGAAGTTTTGATAACAAGGGGCATGCTATGCTCACCCCTGAAAAAAAAAAGGAGCACCTGAAGACTGACTGAGGTGCTGGTCTATTGCTGATGTATTGTTTATCACTTAGAATAATTTCAAAGTCACAAGGGCTGTGCTCTGGAAGTGACGGGAATTGCCAAAAGCTGATTTCATCCCTAGTTGTGTTGTTGTTTCCCCTGTTGTACCTTCAAGTTGTTTCAGATTTACCATTACTCTAAAGTTTTTCTTTACGTAATTTGTTCAGTTTGCCTTTGCCTTCCTCTGAGGCTGAGAGAGTGTGACCAGTGGGTTTCCATGGCTAGGCAGGAATTCGAACTCTGGTCTCCAGAATCGAAGTCCACTGCTCGAACCGCTCTACCACACTGGCTCAGTCCCACATGTTTGATGAGGGCAGAGCAGTTAGCCGGAAAGCCAGAGAAGCGCTTTAGTTTGTTTCGAGAAAACATACTCTTTTTTCTAGTACTGCATAGTTGGGGGTGGATATAAGGAAGGAAGTGCAGCTGAGTTAACTGTAATCCCGAGAGCTGTACTGACTTCATCCACACTGCTGTGTTGATAACAAAAACAGGGAGGGGAGGGAATGAGTTGGCCTACATTGCTCAGAAGACACAATGAGTGATGGCCCACTGCCTCCCTTGACTGTTGCGCTCTTCATAGCAGTGCTGACAAAGAGGCTGGCACCTTGCCAGTTTGACTGTTTTCACTCAGCCTGGGAGATGTTTTGGTAGGATGTTAACAAGAGCTGCACAGAAGGGTCTTATAGGCTGGCATCGAGCAGGAAGCATTGCCCCCGTAATTATGGTGTAGTGATTATAATCTGAGCTCAGTGATTACAACTCTGAAAATAGTTCTGTTTCCAAACAATCTGCCAGTTCTTGCATGGATACTTCAGTGAACACAGGCTCTGGGGAAGCCTTAACAGGTCTCTATAGTAGTCAGGACACATCGGGATGGTAATTTGTTCTGCACTAAAAGCAGCGTTAGAAATAGAAATAACAGGGATTTGAAGCTAACTTGCATACTCTGGCAGTGACATTAATATTACAAAATCCGGAAAATATTGTGCAGGGCTTGGGAAAAATGAAGTTGTTTTAAATGGATTTTTTAAAAACAAAAGAATCCAAGCAAGTTGTAGAGGAAACTGATAGGGAGGTGAGATTTGCCATGGCCATGTTTGGCCTTCCATATTCGTGCTGCATCCATCCTGAAAAGAAGAATTTTCCTGCCCGTACCTGTTTAGTATAGGGCCTAAATACCTTCCAGGCAACAAACTTTGTCTCATCTTGGAGCTAAGCAGGTTCAACTTTGATTAGTACTTGGATGAGAGACTACCAAGAAATAGCATCTGCTGTTGGCTGTATTTCAGAGAAAAGAACTGGCAGAACCATTTCTGAGTATTCTTTAAGAAAAACCTATGAAATTCAAGGGGTTACCATAAGTCAGTGGGTGTTTTTATTTTTGTCGTGTCAGGAGCAACCTGAGAAATTGCAAGTCGCTTTTGGTGTGAGATAATTGGCCGTCTGCAAGGACGTTGCCCAGGGGACGCCCGGATGTTTTGATGTTTTTCCCATCCTTGTGGGAGGCTTCTCTCATGTCCCCGCTTGAGGAGCTGGAGCTGTTAGAGGGAGCTCATCCGCCTCTCCCCGGATTTGAATCTGTGACCTGTTGGTCTTCAGTCCTGCTGGCACAGGGGCTTAGCCCACTGCGCTACCGGGGGCTCCAGTCAGTGGGTGATTTGAAGGCATGTACACACACACTAATTTGTTCAGTGACATGACTTGTTTTCCCTTCTGCAGCCTGACCACCCCTTTCGCCAGCCTAAGGATACTGAAGAAAGGTTGAAGGTCATCCCCAAATTCTGTTTCCCTGACCCCAAAGATTGGTTCCCAACATCAGAGTTAAAAAGGTGAGTCACTTTAAAAACAGAGGATCTTATTTTCTGAGAATCTGGGTTGAGATCTGGCAATCAAGTTGAACAGTACATCACAAATTTTGATACAAGGAGTAGAAGAGATTATCATGTAAATATGGAGAAATGTATCTACCTTCAGTAATAATTTCATGTCCCCCTTTTCATATAATTGTGCTATTTCCAAATTTAGAGTGTGGGGCAGAATATAAATTAGGTTTGAATTAAGAAAACAACATTTTAGAAACTTAAATAGAATTACAAAATATATACATATAAAGCAACCTGAATGTGAACTTGTTGCTTTCTTGTTACTTTAGGCCCCTTCTGTTCTTTGTTTACTGCTTTGCCACAATGTCCTAGATATTTTCCAGCTCAAATTTCCACATCATGCTTACTCTCCCCCCATTGTCCCTACTCGATGGGTGTGGTGAGAAGGTCATTTATTGGCGGCCAGTTGGGATCTATCTGTAGCAGCATTGCTGGGAGGCAGTGCGGCTGCAAAATATCTGCTCAAAACATTTAGAAGCCCCTGGACAATTCTTGTGTGTGGAAATTGGAAGAAAACAGTGTTGTGTATGTCCAGTGCTAAGCAGAAGCTGGGAAGACAGAGCCCTCTGCAGGCAAGGCTTACTCTTGCCTTACCTGCTCCATCAATCTGTAAAATATATTTTTTTTTCTTTTGCAGCGAAACCTTTTCCTTTGTACTGACTGGTGAAGACGGCAGCCGCTGGTTCGGATATTGCAAAAAGCTCTTGGTATGTAACTCCAGATCTTTGGGGCCAGTTTGGAAACTGTGCCATTTCAGGGGCAGAGTGACAGCTTCTCAGAAGTCTTATGAACTGGATAGCTTTGAATGCCATAACAGTGATTAGCTGTCAAAGTATACAAGCCAAATGTTGCTTCAAGCAATTCTTTAGACTGGCATATCAAAAACAAAGGAAAAAGGAGACCTATTATTTGATGGAGAAGGTGGGCGGATGGTTGGAGAAGTAAGAGCAATCACATCATCCTGCATATTCTGTTGTTTTAGATGCAACTTTTGTTCTTGTTGCTTTTTAGCCAGAAGGAAAGGGAAAACGACTACCTGAAGTATACTGCATGGTGAGCCGCTTAGGCTGCTTCAACCTTTTCTCCAAGGTGACTGAACAACTTTTGCATTCATAGAAAATACAGCTCCTTAAATAGTAAAATTACCTTTCATCTTGGAAGGACATTTTTCTGCCATTCCATCTTTCTATTTCCACTTGAATCATTTCTGACACCTCTTTTCCCAGTTCTCCCCCCACTCACCGCTGTCCTACTGGGAAGAAGAAATCACTCTTGCCAAAAATCCTACTGCTTGTGGAAGGCTTTTGAAATCAGGGCAGTAGCTACATGCAATTCTAGGATTTGAGGAGATGTAGACCCTAATCTAAAGGGTTTAAATCTAAATCTAAAGGACAGTAAGCCTGTATTGGGTTGTGGTTATAGTGTTGGACTGGAGAGACCTTGCTTCAAATCCCCACTCGGCCATGAAGCTTACTGAGTGACCTTGGGCCAGTCACTGCCTTTCAGCCTCATCTACCTGACTGGTGTGTCGTAAAGGATAAAGATGGACTATACACATAAAGCACATATATGATGCCTTGAGACAGGGTGGGGTATAAACGTAATAAATAAACAACTGTCAAAGCACTTCCAGCAATGTGGAGGCAACGCCATATCAGTAAAAGTTCGTCAAAAGTCATTTCCACTTTGTCTTCCTCAAGGACCGTGATTGGAAAGGGATAGACAGAAAGAGTGATTTCCTTGATTTAGTGAAGTGTATTTAAAACCTGTTTTCAATTCATTCCCTACTGAAAGAGGGGGAGCTACTTCAGGAAGACTACAGAACAAAGTCATGTGTTTGGCAGATAAGCATTGCAAATCCTGTTTGTATCCTATTTGGAAGAGATTTCATCACACCACAGCTGTCTGCTCCCTGGGAGCCTAGTTATCTTTGTTACTCTAGGAAATGCCTGCTCTGCTTCATACCTCCAGCCATACATAGACTTGGAGCCATTGGCAGATTGATTTCCATCACTCTTCGTGATTGCTTCCATATGTCCAGAAAGGTCCAGGCTGAAGGCTGTTGTAGATGCTGCACAGATTAGGCAGGGGTTTCGGTTGGTTCCTAAACGGGGTCTATGAGGGATCGTCTTTTCTTCTTCTGTTTCTGTTCTGAAAAGGAGACTTTACTTTGTGTGATATGGAGAATATAGTCTGATAATGACTAGTAGTTTTCATGTTAAGTGTGGTGTTGAATCCTCTTTGGACTTTAGTCCAGTCTTTAAAACAGTTGTTGAGTATGATTAACCCTATATAGAAAATCAGTTTGGCACTTTGGATATCTTATTTAAAGTCCAGGCAAAAACCAAAAGTAGACTCTTTGCCCCACTGAAGGTCACCAAGCACTGCCAGTGTAGTCACATGCAGTATTTTATTTTCTGAAGTTGCCCTCTAGAATCAGCTCAATTGGTCTTTAAATCCCTCAAATTCAATGGGCAAATGTCAAACAGCCAGTACTACTTCTTTTTTTTTTTTGTAAACACCGTCATTTTTGTTACCAAACTGCTTTCTGCATATCTCACTTACAAAGTGTGTAGAAGTGCCACCAAAGACCAATTTCAATCTTTTCAGACAGTGGTCCTCAACCTGTGGGTCCCCAGGTGTTTTGGGTCTCAACTTCCAGAAATCCCAGCCACTTTACCAGCAGTTAGGATTACTGGGAGTTGAAGGCCAAAACATCTGGGGACCCGCAGTTGAGAACCACTGTTTTAAGCTGTTTCTCATTTGTGCTGTGGCTGAAATAATACAGTGACGATAAAACCTTTGTACGCAGATATTAGATGAGGTGGAGAAGAGGCGCGAGATGTCCCCAGCCCTTGTGCACCCTTTCATGCGCAGCGTCATGGAGGCACCCTTCCCTGCTCCTGGGCGCACCATCACTGTAAAGAGCTTCCTGCCAGGAGCTGGAAATGAGGTAAAGCAAAAACAATGTGTGCTTCCAGGCAAGCTTTGATCAAGTGAACTCCTTGCTATGTTCGCAGAGTCTTACAAGTGACCAGATGATGTCTTCCACTTGCAATCCTCTGCATGTTTTAGCAGTATTGCTTCTATCTTTTTTCTTTCCATGAAGAATCTATTAAAAATGAAGAGTTTAATTAGTTGCACAGTGCATTCTGATCAACCGTGTTGGGAATCCTCTGTCTCGAAGCAACCATGGCTTGCATTCTGGCAAAAGAATAAGGAATGTTCACTCTGACCCTACAGAAGGCTAATTTCCCTGGCTTTTACTATAGGACCAGCAGTACAGTTACTCAGAGTGAGACAGCTGCCTTGAGCAGAAAATCTTTCGCTTTGTGAAAAGGCAGGACATGGTTACTTATGTATATTAAGATAATTGTTACAAAGAGAGGGACAAGCTGTTGTAAGATTCTTCTACTTCAGGTATTAAAGTAAGTGGGTGGCTGAGAGTAATACTTTGAGTTTTGATGTTGCAGGAAGAGTGTTACTCTGTTTCAAGCAGCAAAATTTATTGGGCTGGTTTTGTAGTGTAATCAATTCACATACAATGGACTGAATGGACATGCTTTATCTTTGGGACAAGCTCCGGACTGTGTCCCAGCCTCTCAACTGAGCCTCCATCGAATACTTTGGGTACCTTTGGAAAGCAACCAGAACAAAATACCTCAGAAATTCCTTGTGACTCCTTTACTTCTCTTTGCTTTCAGGTGATTGAGCTTTGCCGCCCATTAGACTCCCGGTTGGAGCATGTTGATTTTGAATATCTGTTTAAGTGTCTCAGTGTCTCTCACTTGATCCAAGTCTGTGCTTCTCTCCTGCTGGAAAGGAGAGTCATCTTTGTTGCTGACAGTTTAAGGTGAGAAAATAAGTTTTGGTTCTGTTTTCTGGTTTTGAACCATTTGTCCTGCAAAAAGTTTGCACCTTTTCTTGTTGGTGTATATGCAGACTTCAGAAAACATATCCTTCAGATAATACAAATTCTGGAATATTAAGGAGGTACTATGAATTTCAGAAACCTTTATAAAAGCAGTCCCCAAGTTATGAACAAGGTTCTGTAGGTTTGTTCTTAAGTTATATTTATATGTAAGCCAGAACAAGTACATTTTAAGTGTAACGCCACACACACACACGTACATACACACATACATACATACTTACAAGCAAGCTTTGGATAGAATAGGGAAGGGTTAGCACCTCTGTGGTGTTTGTTTGCTGTCTGTGTTCCTGTTCAGAAGAACCTTTTTATTCCGACAGGCTTTTAAAGAAGGCTTTGAAGATCAGTTCAGAGGGTGCTGTGGTTTTTAACTTTGAATATGTTTTAATGGTTTTTAACTGATTTTTAAATTCTTTTTATATTTAATTCTGATTTAATGTTTGTATATTTTAAATTGTATGCTAACGCTTTTATGTTAGGCAGCTTTGAGTCTCCCTTCGGGAGAGAAAAAGTGGGAAATAAATAAATATAATAATAATAATTTCACCTCACTTTCTGATAACTGGATTTTGAGAAATTTGGCTTGTTGTGGAAACAAGAACTAGTGATAAACAAGCTTGAGTGGAGACACATTTTCCCCATAATAACTCTTTCAGGAGTGGATTTCCCTTCCAAGGGGCAGATTTCTCTCACTTCCTGTTGTCTCACCCCTGTTCTAAACTAGGAGTTTATTGTAAGTCGGACGTTTGTACCTTGGGGACTGCCTGTAACTGCAATGTCGTAGCAGTGTTTGACCAAAAATCTGAACAATTGTGTTTCACTGCTTAGTTCTGTGTAATGAATTATATTCATTAGTCAAAAGGTATTTTCCATCACACCACACATTAATAAATATTTGCATTACATTTTCTGATTACAGCACCTTGTCCAAATGTGGCCATGCTGTGGTTGCAACGCTTTACCCATTCACTTGGCAACACACCTATATTCCTGTTCTTCCAACTTCCATGATAGACATTGTCTGCTCGCCCACCCCATTCCTTATTGGGATTCTCTCCTGCTCCTTACCCCAGCTCCAGGATCTACCTATAGAAGAGGTGAGTCCTGAAAAGACTTTAAAATGGAATGCAAGAGGTATTGGCATCATAACAGCAAGAACTGTACTGTATTATTGAGACAGAGACTGAGGATTTATGGCAATGTGTATATGAACTATTCAATTTAGCACACTTCTTTTTATTCTATCACTGAATTGTCATTATACATTGATATACCTGTTGAATATTTATTTTCTTTTTTCACTGAAAGCACTGTTTTTTCAATGTCCCAATCATGCAACCAACTTAAGCAGGACTTGTTAAAAAATCAGAAATGTCTAAATGTTGATTTGATGACCATTCCCTAATTTTTTTTTTATTTGGAGCATACTGATTTTGTCATATGTCCTTCCTTCCCTTCCCAAGGGACCATAACTGAAAAGCTATAAAACAATACACATTTGCCAAATTTTTGATGGCCAACCATCAATGAAAACTGTAGTAAAGGGAAGTGTTACATTGGGTTACCTCCTCGGTGTCAGCCTGGAGAAGTTACTTTCCTAAATTTTGTTGAGTGTGAGATTCTAGACTTGTTTGTTGTCCAGCAAAAGCAAGTATTTTAAGCTCTGATTAACTGTTTTATACAGTCAAACTACTATTCAATCCTTAACCATGCAGAGAAAGCTGGCCACAAGAATACGCATAGTGGTTGGGTGTGTTTGAAGGACTTGAGGAATATAGATACTTGATCCTGCATATAATAACAGTATATCTTTTCCTTTCCCCCTAGGTACTGATTGTTGATCTCTGTGGTGATCGATTTTTGCAACAGGTAAATAAAATTATTTCTACTGATTACTTTGTAGGCAAGTTGAACATATTTCCTTAATGGTGCCATTCAGTCATGGTGATAAATATGTGAAAGAAAACTAATGACCACACTTGGACATAATACAGCCATAACTAAAACTGTTATCTAGATTCAAGTATAGGAAGAGGAAGCAAGCTAGATGAAGGTGTGATGCTGTGTTTTGTGTGAGAAAGGGCTATTTCCCATTACTACTGAAGTTACTGGGCTCAAATTACTCATTGTATTCATTAAGATATTGTACTCATTCATATCTTAGTGTTCAAAAACATGTCATACAGCTTGCACACTCCCTTTGTTGTCTCCTCCAATATGGCCATAGAGTTGTAAACAGGAACTTCTCATGCTTTCGGTCAACCACAATTTAGTGTGTTGTTCAAACCAGAAGTTGTGGTTATGTTTAACTGTGGTTAGCTGGAATAAACCAGCTTTGTAAATTAAGGCTTGAAGTTCACTTGTTTCTACAAACCATTGCTCAGATTAGGCCACATTTTGCCCAGAAACAAAAGCTTCCAAACAGTTCTTCTAATTACAAACAAAATCATAAACATGTTCAGGACACATAGTGTGTAACATGTAGTTTGGCTCTTAGAAAGCTCTCTCTTTTGTTTCTCTCCCTTATTTTCTGCATTTCCTTCACACAATACTTTTTCCTCTTTCATTGTCTAGACAGTCAGAGCTTCCTGTGGACAACTATTCTTAAAATAACCTCCTCATGATGTCAATCTCTGGTATTACTTGCTAGCTGAAAGCACCTCTCCCACAGGCAAAACAAGCAGAGATTGACAAACCTTTTTTTGTGTAACATTCCACAAAAGCAGAAGTAAATGGTTCTGTTCCCCTTTGTGGTTCTAGCATATCTTTCAAACTTAGAATTACTTTTAGCCTTGGAGATGCTTAGTCTCTGAACAGAGATATAGGAAGCTGTCGTTTATTGAGTCAGACACTTGGTCTATCTAACCCTGTACTGACTGACAGTGGCTCTCTCATAGATTTTACCTAACCAATGCTACTTGCAGATTTAAAGGATTGAATCTAGAGCTTTCTGCATAGCAAACATGTGTTCTAGCAATGATCCTTCATGTGTTAAAGATAAAACTATCTCTAGATGGTTGTTGTTTTTATATAATTATCAGTGAATGTCTTAAATTCCATTATGGTGAAAGCTTTGTTTGGCAATGCTAAAAGAATCCTCCACCTTGTGCGACTGTGGAGCAGAACAAACAACTCAGCATCTGTATGCTTGCCCACAATGCTCTGTCTCACGCACAGAGGAAGAACTGTTTAAAGCTACAGACAATGCAGTTGCTGTTGCCCGTTTTTTGTCTAAAACCATTTAGATGCTTGTGATCCCTTTAGTTTAGCCGTTTTAAACTTATTTGTTATGCAATGCTTTTGATACAAAATAAAAAAATAAAATATTTGTTTGGCCAAGCAAACAAGAATAAAATCAAGGTAAGTTTTCAAAACCTCGGAAGTACTGCCAAGACATTTTAAAAAGCAATGGAAAAGGAAGTGGATTGTGACTTGCGATGTCATAGTGTGCATGTGGTCATAAGATGTAATTGGTCTGCAGCTCTCACACTGGGTCATTATGTTTTTTGGTTTCATTTTGAAACCCTGCTGAGTGTGTTGGGAAAAGAATAAAAGGCAATGAATTTTGGATTCCCATAAGGTGAAAATACAATGCCTTCAGAAAATGAAAATGTTTAGATCTCTTTCAGTATATATAGCATTTTACAGAGGAACATAAGCCAAAATCAGACTTGTGTCTTGAGGAATTTCACATTCAAAATATAGGCAGTGACTGAAGTGTGAGGAGTGGGGAATAAATGAGAAGGAGAGAGACGTGATATGGATTGCACAGGAGCAAAAATTGGGGCTCTGATTTTATGCTTTATTTAAGTTTAAAATGAATTTGAAGGGATTCGGCCAGAGTTTTTTTGGAGGAACTAACTTTTGGGCAGGGGTATAAATGTTGACAACATAAAGTGATGTGTTTAATATGACAAAACACTGGAGAATGTTACAGAAACAGGAACTTATGAAACAGAACTGGAAGCAGTTTACTGGTCTACAGCATGTCTGTGTGGTTGATTGAGTTGTGTTCTTCAGTCTCATAAAAGCTATAGAGGGCCTCAAGAGGGACATGAATCATGTAATCTTCCAGATGTTGTAGACTACAACTGCCAGCAGCCCTAGCCAACACAATCAGTGATGAGGAATTCTGAGAATTACAGTTTGGTAACATCTGCAAGGTCATAAGATTCCCACCTCTGCTCTAGTATCTTTGCTAGCATGCTATCATCTATCACAGGCATGGGCAAACTTCTGCCCTCCAGGTGTTTTGGACTTCAACTCCCACAATTCCTATCAACCTACCGCCTGTTAGGAATTGTGGAAGTTGAAGTCCAAAACACCTGGAGGGCAGACGTTTGCCCATGCCTGATCTATCAGTATGATCAAGCAAAATATCCCCTCTTTCTTCTCATTATTCTGACCTGCTGTGGAAAATTAGAATAATTGATCATAGGATATGGATCATGGATCTTCACCATCTCTGAGATATTTTAAACTTGGTTTAGTTTTTGTATTTTCACAACTAGAAGTGAGTTTCTGTTGTAGTTCAGTCTACTGCAATTTTTAAAAATTCTGATAATATCTTTATGGAGCAGTGTGTTGGTTTTAATTAATTTCATTATTTTTCATTTTATATAGTCACAAGGCATACACACTGACATTACATGTTGGAATAATTCTTCTGCATGGTAGCTGCTGAAATGAATCACTGTTACATTTCATCCCACTTTTAAACACAGCAGTGTAATCATTATTGTTGACTTTTCTTCCTGCTTTTGTATTTTAAAGGTTTCGGATGAGGGTGAAATTCTACCTCACAAACTCCAAGCTGCACTCATACAAATTTTGGAAGAAAGGAATGATATCTTGTCTCAGGAGCGGACTTTTACACAAGGTGACTGCATTAGAGAATTATGCCTGTATAACGTAATTCTGACTTGAAAGTTCCTGTGTAAATTCAAGAATTCTTAAAATACATTTAAGACATTTTAGATGATTGATGCATTAGTACCTCCCACTGAGATTTAGATTGTCTATATAGATAAAGGACGATGAATACGTAGTCAGAACATTACAAAATAAGTGGCAGAAGGAGGGGACTCTCACAAAACAAACTATTGAGGAATTAAAGAAAGGAATAAATAAAATCAAAATGGAAAAATATAAAGAATTAGAAAGGAAATTTATCTGGAAATGGTATAGGACACCAGCTCAATTAGCAAATATGGGAACAGGATTAAGTCCAATGTGTTGGCACTGTAAAGCAGAGAAAGGCTGGTATGCACATATGTGGTGGGACTGTTTAAATGCAAAAACGTTTTGGAATAAGATAACTAGAAAAATTGGGAAACTTTTCAAAATAACAATACAAGCCAATATGGAATTTATGTTAATGGCAATTACAGGGAATAAAAATATTGATGCGAAGAACCAAAACTTATTTAAAGCAATGATTCTAGCAGGTAAGGCAGTAATAGCCTGGGGGTGGAGAGATGAAAAAAAAATGGAATTTGGAAAATTGGAATAATTATTTATTTGAACAAGTTCAATCAGATATTATTGAATGTATAACCCAAGAAGACTCACAGGAGGATAAAACAGAAGAAATTAAAGAGAAATGGGCAACATATATGAAATGGGTAGAAGAAGGTGAAGCCAGCATAGAAATTGTACAAAGATTGCAAAAGTTGTGTGCGTGGTTAAAAATAAAGATATAGAGAGAAATGTGGCGGGAGGGGTAGGAAAGGGGGGTGGGAGGGGGGGGGAGAAAAAAGAAAGAAAGAAGAAAATAATAATAATAATAAAAATGTAATATGAATAAACTTGTAAAGAATGTGAATAGATAATATTGAAATATGTCACTATAATGTATGCCTACAATAGACAAGTATTATCTGTTCAAATATGTTATTATTTTTCTTTCTCAATAAAAAAAAATGAAATAAGATTGTCTATATAGAAATATATAAAATTTGTGTAATGCTTAAAAAGGAAAGAGAAGATAATAGTGAAATATAGTAAATGTTTTTCCTATACAATACTGCCTTACTAACAGATCAAATTAAACTGTTAGATTTATTCAGTAATAACTAAGATTAAACAAAAGATTTAGTGGTGAAGAGAAGACAAGAAGAACATAGGACAATACAAGAAGATACAAAGACCGGGCTTAAAGTTAGAGGACAATATTTGTCCTCTGTTGTAGAGAATATATAGAATTTTTAATATTTTGAAGAATGTGTGAAATTGTAACTGATATGAAGAATTAGATGTATCAATTTTAACTTTGTACAGTATCCCCCCTCCTTCCGATCCCCCCTCCCTCTCTATGCCACACTAGATAGTTGTAAAGACTTAATTCACTAACAATAACCCCATTACCTCCACCTTCTTTATCCTTCTTTCTTCCTCTGACTTTCCCCATTGGGGGGGGGGGGGGGGCTTGGAAATGTTTATTTAAAACATTTCAAAACTAAAAAAAAAAAAAGAATTCTTAAACTAAAGTACACAAGCCTTCTTAATGGTCTGAAAACCGCTTTGAGTCCCCCTAGGGGTGAGAAAAGCAGTATATAAATACTGTAAATAAATAAATAAAAATTAAAATTGCTTGAAATGTTGCCATTCAAGAATATGGGATGTGATCATCTGCACTCTTGGTGTCTGAAATCAAACCCCCATAGGAACAGTGAGGCCCACTGTGGTGTTGCTTTACAAAAGAGAAGTAGTTTCCTGTGCTTCTAGACATCCTTTCTCCTGCACAACATGCAGTGTTTGTACTTTATTTGGTGTTGGAATGCAATTATTTTATCAACTATGACTGCTGATGTCATTATTTTGGTAGTCAGATATGCAGGCTGTGACCCAGAGATCAGGTTCTGTAGGTTTTGTAACTAATGGGGAAGGAGCAGAGGTTGTTGTCTTTCTAGAAGAGAGATGTGATTCTTTTCTGTTATTTTCTAATAGGTGATGTGACTCTGGACTCTCTTGTATCTGAGGCCTTTGTTCGCTTCTTCGTGGAGATTGTGGGGCACTACTCCTTGCACATGCATGTCACTGAGAAAGGGGAGCGGGTATTCCAGCGGGAACCCTTCCGGAAATCCCACACCTCTCGCAATGTGCGGCATTTCCTTGAAATCTTCATGGAAACACAAATGTTTGCTGGTTTCATACAGGACAGAGAGCTCCGGAAAAGTGCCATTAAAGGTGAGATCTACCAAACTCAGCTTTACATTTCTCTTCGTGGCAAATTAAAAATCGTATGAAACCCAAATGCCTTTATGCTTATAGAACATCCTCTGAAAGGTACTGCGGTCTCCAGTACATTTTGTTGGGAACCTTTATACACTCCTGACAACACTGGTAGTTCATTGCCAGCACAACCAAAAACATTTTTGATGAACTTGTCTTGGGAAAAAATTGAATTACTGAGTAGAATATTCACTTCTTTGAGGTGCCTCAGTTGCCTTATTAGGAGCCCCTAGTAGCACAATGGGTTAAACTCCTGTGCTGACAGGACTGCTGACCAAAAGGTCAGTGGTTCGAATCCGGGGAACGGGGTGAGCTTCCATCTGTCAGCTCCAATTTCTCATGTGGTAAAACATCCGGTCGTCCCCTGGGCAATGTCCTTACAGACGGCCAATTCACTAACACCAGAAGCGACTTGCAGTTTCTCAAGTTGCTCCAGGCACGAGGAAAAAGTTGCCTTATTTTTGTTTTTTCATGTCTTTAGCCACACAGCAAATGCCTGTAAATGTTGTTTCAGAGTTTCATTGTAGATAATCTGTGTAAAGTTTTACATATCTATGCACATTAACATGATTTATAGTTTTTTAAATCTCAGCTAAGTAAATACATATCAGAATGATGGAAAGAAGTCCTTTCTTTTCCTTCAGTAAAATCAGGATTGCACAAACATATGTTACAAAATGTACAGATATCTGTTATCAAACATATAGATTGCTTCTCGACCTTTTGGCTAAGATGAAGTGTAGTGTCAAACATATAGATATATATGCACAAAGATGGTATTTGCATCTTGAAGCCTGTGTATAATTGGCACAATTTATGCTGCATAATTCCGTGATTCATGCTGTTGTTTTACAGAAGTCCTTTTTGTGTAGTATATGTGTATGAACATAATTCAGACTAAAGAAATATAGTGTGTTTCTAAGTGATGCATTTCTTTTTGCAGGGTTGTTTGAGGTCCGAGCTTTTGAATATTTGGAAACCATTCCAGAGTCTGAGCCAAGTGGGATGAATAAAATCCTTCGTAGTCTGGGTAAGTCAGGCTAAGACACATAATTATTGTAAAGATTCTATAAATACACATATTAAAATGTATTTCTATAATGTGCAAGTGGCAACAAGGCAAAGATTAACCATGTAGTCAGACTTGTAAATCTATATTTTATATATATTTTAGGTAACAAAATGAAGTTTCTGCAAAAGAAGTAAGAACTCCACTGCAGAATTTCTGCTAAGCATGGATTTCAGTTCCCAATCCACCATGACAAGGGGATATCTCATTGCCTGTCATTGTGGTGTCAGATCGGATTTCTGGGAAGCAGCTCAAGATGAGCTTCAAGCGACTGGAAAAAAAAGTGCACCAGATCTGGCTGGAATTACTGATCTTTACTTTGCCTGGTCCTGCTGGAGTATTACTAGGAGAAACTGGGCTTCCAGTTGTAGAACTGGTCTGTAATGAGGAACTTGGTTAACTCTGTGAACAATGTCTTTGTTTATGCTGCTTGGCCTAAAGACTTTCTCAGGTCACCCATTGTTTGAGAGGGTTCCTTCAAAAACTACTTAAAGTGATTTAAGGACTAAGTTGATACCAGTAAAAAAGAAGAATGTGCCTAGAAATATGACATTTTCCCACAGCTATCACATAGCCCTATGGATATTCTTTTCACAAGAAAATGTTCCCTAAAACTGGAAAGGCAAACCTATTGAAGATGTTCTTCCGTCCTCATCTGCAAAAGTAGCCCTGTAAAGTTCACTCTGCCATTGGCCTAGTTTGTGCCATTATCTGTTTCATTACTTCTTCTAGTGATGTATTGCAATGCTGTATATTTTGTAGATAGAGAAAACAAAACAACAACATCCTTTGTTTATCTTCCTTTTTTATACTATAAAACTTAGTCTGTGTTATCTGTTTTGAATGTACGTGTTCTCTGACATTTTTACAAGATCATCTCTACTACATCAAGGGACATACCTCACACAAAACTGGTGTTAAACTCTGTCAGGAGAATGCAATTTGATCCCATTTGGGAGCATCAATATGTTTTTTTAAAAAATACAGAATGTAAATGAGCTCATTGTTTAATGCAAAAAGTTTGTTAAAAAAAAAGAATTTCTTATAGTTCCAGTTTGCTGTGAAACCTGAATGGGTTAGAACAACTTCCTGGGTGCATTGTACCACTGATTTATCATAGCTGAACATCCAATACAATATGTTCTTCATCTAAACCTTCGCCTAATATTACCGGATTTGGAGCCACTATTATAGGAAGCAAACCAACACAGCCCCCTTCAGTTGTTCTTGTGGTTTGCATACCGTATGAAATAACTGTTCTAAAATGGCAAATAACCACTCCATGCATTTACTCAAATACAATGCATGGCATCATTGTTCTTGTTGGACTTATTCTGGTTGCTTCTGTGGATTTGTTCTTCAGTGGATTGTCATTGTATGTTTACATGTAACAAATGGACTCAGGTGTAACGCACAGTACTGTTGTTCAGCCTTGGAGTGAGTACAAAATTGTTCGTAGAAGAGGAATTGTTTTGATGCTTTGATATGCTGATATATTGGATTATCCTTTTTTACAGTGCAGCAAAATTGGCCCTCTCAGTTTGGGTGATGAATTGATGTACAGAGGGACTGCCTAGATCTGAAAGGTGCTGCATAGAGATTAGGTATAATCCTTGCAGAACATAAGGAGAAAACATTTTTCATGATATGAAGACATGAGAGATAATTCACTGTGAATTGGAGTTAATGCATATAGTCTGAACTTCCACCTGTGTTTACAGTATTGCAGCCAGAATGAATTGCCAAAACCTTGGGGGCAGAAGGTGTTTCAGGAGATTTAGGAAATGTTTTCTTTCTTTGTATAGTTGTGCAAAACAAACCACTCACTCTTGTGCAGATTTACTCAGCGCTAAGGCTCTCTAAATCTAGTAGGATTTATACCCAAGCAAGTGCTTCTATGTAAGAGTTCAGCCTTAAGCTAAGAGTAAATACCACAATCTCAGTTATCTTCTGAGTAAATGTGTACTGCATCATGCTGTAGCATGTGAAACCTAAACAAAAAATGGAAATAATTTTATGTGTTTCAGAATCATGGACTGGCCTAGCTTGATACTGCAGTTTTGTTCTGAATGTGTTTTTCTGTTGCTTTTCCATATACAGATTACTAAGAAAGCAAGACTTGGGTCAATGATTTTAAAGTTTGTATTAGCACTTGAACACTTGCACTTGATCAGAAGAGCAGGAAGAAGCACCTTAGTGGTTCTGTTATTCAGGTCCTCCCTTGGGTTAGTTCAGCCCCTGAAATGTGTTACCTAATCTTTATAATTCCAGCCACGCTGTTCCTCATGCCCTTATTTTCACTTCACTTTTGATTTAAAAAAACATGTTCCTTCTGATCAGTGTTTTGTCCTTTTCCTCTGTATTTCCTTTGTCTTTTATACAGCCTGTTTTCTGCATTCTGGATAAAGCCATATTCTGTGGTGTACAGATGAAACCAAAACTTTAATGTACAGTAACAGAATTGTAATAAACCATGTTCCTTCTGAAACTGGTTCAAATAAAATGTACTGGATCTTTGTGTATGGCATTGTATCTTTTGGTCCTGAAAGCCAGTGCTCTTTACACCTTTGGTCTCCCAAAAAGGCCCATCAGAACAGGAGTGGGGCCGCCCTCCATTATTACTTCATTGGAAATATAACGTAAGTGTTTAAAGGGGTGGCGATAGGTTAATATCTGGAAGCTGTAGTTTGTGCAGAACATTGTTGCCTGAATCATGAATGATATTGGGTGACAGAAGTGCATTGTTTGAAGTGGCTCTTTGTAACTTTATAGATGTGACTCAATGAATGGGCCAGAACAAGGTGCTGGAGGATTGTTTCTGTCCCTATGAGTGCAGCTACACTGTAGAATTAATGCAGTTTGACAATATTTTAATTGCCACAGCAGTTATGAAATTGTAAGAGCTGTAGTTTTACAAAGTCCTTAATCTTCTCTCCCAAGGTCTTTCTGTCGAAAATTGCAACTCTCATGATTCCATAACATTACACTGTGGCAGTGTAAGTGGTGCCAAACTGAACTGATTCTACAGTGTGGATGCATTGCTGTTCAGCAGCCCTTATCTGTCAAACAGTTAATAACCATCATTATCCAGTTGTCAAAAGTATTTCACAACATACTCCTTATTGCTCAATTATTTTAGAAAAGCGCGACCTTTTAGAGATCATGATCTTTTAGAGAACAGCCAAAAAACCTGTTTCAGTAGAATCTTCTCAAGTGGTACACAACCAAATGTAACTATGCAAGGCAATTGGCTTCAGTTGTTAGGAATATGCCAGTGCATAAGAACAGCAGTTCTTCAGATGTGTTTTTCAGTATCCAAAAACATATCTGCTCTCCCATAAAACATGTTTTATATTATGTACTCAAACAACAAAATAAGACTTTGGTAAAAAAAAAACATATTTGGTTTACTCAGAACCTTCATGTGTTCAGCATACACAGGTACACAATGTATCAGTCAGTTACAGATATGTTTGAGATACCTTTTGTGTCATCTGGTCAGAACATCTCTCACACAATAAACTGCAGGCAAGTGTTTACAAGTCTGCCATCTGAGTAGTCATAAAGTCTAAAGAAGTCTCAGAGCGGGTCATGTGATCTGCAGCCCCTCCCACAACTTCTCAGAAAAAGCATAGAGCAAGGAAAGAAATCTGCATATCAGAACATACATACAATAGGTAAGCAACCGGATTATAAACAAATTACTAGAGGAGGCTTGAAGAAGGTTGCATTTTCCAACACAATAACATTCCTGTCAGCTCCTGCTGATGGTGATAATTATATTTATTTATATTTCGCTTTCTTCTCTTAACAAGAGTCAAAGTAACTCACAACACTACAAACAGTACAAGTGGCAATATAAAACCTTTAACACATTAACACATTAAACACATTAAAGGTTGATGCCATACATCAAGGGAACCACTGACCGCATAGAGAAGCTGATGAGGAAACACAACATACAAACAATCTACAAACCCACCAAGAAAATCCAACAAATGCTACGTTCAGCAAAGGACAAGAGGGATCTTCTCACCTCTGCAGGAGTCTATCGTATACCATGCAGCTGTGGACAAGTCTACATAGGGACCACCAAACGCAGCGCCCAAACACGAATCAAGGAACATGAAAGGCACTGCAGACTACTTCAACCAGAGAAGTCAGCCATAGCAGAGCACCTGATGAACCAGCCTGGACACAGCATATTATTTGAGAACACAGACATGCTGGACCACACCAACAACCACCATGTCAGACTACACAGAGAAGCCATTGAAATCCACAAGCATGTGGACAATTTCAACAGAAAGGAAGAGACCATGAAAATGAACAAAATCTGGCTACCAGTATTAAAAAACTCTAAAATTACAACAGCAAAACAGCAGAGAGGAAACAACCAGGCACATCTTAACACCTCTCAACAAAAGATTTTCCCAGGCTCAACCAGGCCTTCAAATGCTAATGAAGGTGGTCAGTTGAAACATTCACACCTAGCTCCAGCAGAGAAGAGCTCTTTGCCCCACCCCAGCCATTCCACAGATATATAAACCCATTGTCCTAATTCCAACAACCTCACTACCTCTGAGGATGCTTGCCATAGATGCAGGCGAAACGTCAGGAGAAATGCCTCTAGAACATGGCCCTATAGCCCGAAAAAACCCACAAGAACCTAGTGATTCCAGCCATGAAAGCCTTCGACAATACTTTAACACATTAACTTAATGATGAAATTAAAGACATTCTAGACCAGGAAATAGCAAACTTAGGCCCTCCAGGTGTTTTGGACTTCGATTGCCACCATTTCTAACAGCCTCAGGCCCTTTCCCCTCGGGGGAAGAGGAAAGGGCCTGGGACTGTTAGGAATTGTGGAGGACTGAAGTTTGCCCATGCCTGGTCTAGACATTCTTTGACCATTTACAGCAGTGGTTCCCAACCTGTGGTCCATGGACCACTAGTGATCCACAAGGACTAAAATACGATCCGCAGCTTCACCGTTACTACGCTGTTGCAACAAGAGTGACCCTCTTATAGTGCTGAGGCTTATTAAATATGGTTTTCTGTGGGCGAGCAGATGGCGATTACTGGATAGCATATGTTCTGTATCAGAAATGAGAGCTGATGTGGTCTATCTAATGAAATTTTCTGAATCGGCACCCCAGATAACCAAAACGAATCTAAAGTTGACCAAAACAAGATTCATAACCCTTTTGGTACTAATGTTGGAGAGTGGTCCCTGGACAAAGTGGTCCCTGGACAAAGCGGTCCCTGGACAAAGCGGTCCCTGGCCATAGCGGTCCCTGGACAAAGCGGTCCCTGGTCCAAGTGGTCTCTGGTCAAATAAAGGTTGGGTACAACTGATTTACAGGTTGGTAAAAATACAATAAGTCTGCTCTAATGGAGGATTGAGTCCCAGTATCTCCCATCTCTCAATAAGAATGGGCTGTAATAAAATAAATCCTTTTCAATTATCTAGTTATTGGGGCGAGAATTGCAGTTGCTAAAAATTGGAGACAAAAAGAGATCCCTAAAAAAGAGGACTGGCTGAAGAAAGTTTTGGAGGTAATGAACATGGACAAGCTTACCTACTGGATTACTCCCAACCAAGGACTTTCAAAAAAACAAACAAATTGGGACCTGGTCAAGAATTACCTTAAGCAATTAAAGATAGACTTAATAATATGACTAAACAAATACCAACAAGAAGATCAGAAACTGCAGGGATGTTTAGACAAATTTGTTCTTTACCCTTAGAGGGGCCAATGAGTATGAATCCACAACCACCGAAGAAATAGAAGGAAGTCAAACCATTTATGTATTTTATTTTATTTTTCTTTTCTGACTCTTTTAAATTCTTTCATTTTCCAAGCTTTCCTATCCAGAAATTGTTTTCACTCTTTCGTAGTTTTACTTTCTACTTATTAATGATATCTATATAAATAAAAATGTAATGTTCATTTGTGGGATTAACAGAACTTGAAAACCACTGGATGAATTGACACCAAATTTGGACACAATACACCTAACAACCCAATGTATGTCCTTCACTCAAAAAAATGATTTTGTCATTTGGGAGTTGTAGTTGCTGGGATTTATAGTTCACCTACAATCAAAGAGCATTCTGAACTCCACCACTGATGGAATTGAACCAAACTTGGCACACAGAACTCCCATGACCAACAGAAAATACTGGAAGGGTTTGGTGGGCATTGATCTTGAGTTTGGGAACTGTAGTTCATCTACATCCAGAGAGTACTGTGGACTCAAACAATGATGTATCTGGACCAAACTTGGCACGGATATTCCATATGCCCAAATATTAACACAGATGGAGTTTGGGGGAAACCGACGTTGACATTTGGGAGTTGTAGTTACTGGGATTTATAGTTCATCAAAGAGAATGCTGAACCCCACCAACAACAGAACTGGGACAACCTTCCCACACAGAACCCCCATACTTAGGGCCAACCAGTCCAACTCCCTTCACCAGGACAAGAAAACATAATCAAAGCCCTCCTGACAAAGAACCATCCAGCCATAGATATAGTTAGATATGTATGAGTCACACACAGAGATATAGTAGCATAGATTTGAAATGGACCCCTAAAGAAGGACAATGATATTGGAGGGGACGTAGCTTTAAAAAGACAATTTTCAGAGATCTTCCCAATGCCCATATGTCATGATTTACTGCCATATTGGCCTATTTCTGCAGTAGGCCTATGTTCACAGAAAATGCTGATTGTTTGAGAAATCAGTGCTCCAAAGAAGAAGTTACTATTCAAGGATAACAGTATATCCGGACAAAACCAGCTAGCTGTTGGCTAGTTAGAACCCCCAAGTTTCCCAGTCGCTCTGAAGCCATGTTTGCAACAGACTAACAGATAAGATACAGTCATGGTCAGAGAACAATGGACCATAGTTATGTTATAGTTGTGCCATTGTTAGGATCCCACGTGTGCTATAATGTCAATCAAAATCATAAACAAATGAACAACTGCATAACTAACTTAGACCAATGAAATGATTTGTCTTTGGGAACCAATGAAAATGTATATTCCATTTACTATAAATGCTCTGCAGCCCCCTTGGGGGTTGCGACAAACCCTTTGATTGCATCCCTGTATGCTCGTTTGTATTTTGCTATGGCCATGCAATAAATAGTTGTTTTTTTTTTGCAGTTTAAAAGATTCAACTTTCGTGGTGTCCATCCTTGCCCTCCCTATTGGAAAGGGGGCTTCTGCCTTTCTGGGAAATATTCTGGTTTCGTTGCCCCTACAATATGTTGCATGTTGCAGAGTTGTCAAACCAGACAATCTCCATATCAACACTGACAAAAGATACAGCAAGAAATACTGTTTACCCACAAGCATAAAGAAATTACAAATATTAGAAACCAACACTTTCTAATTACTCTATTTCCCAGATCACAAGACTGGCCACAGCAACGTGTGGCAGGGGACGGCTAGTAAACCAATAAAAATCTTAACTCAGAAAAAAAAAGAATGGGCTGTCGAGTTTTGCGCATGCGCCGGATTGCTGCGTTTGCGCAGGCGCGGTGGAGAGCCCGGGCTACAGCGCAGGCGCGGTGAGAGTTGAGTCGCCGGCGTGAGGAGGAGAAACAGCAGTATGTCGGGGCCGGGCCTGGTGGCGGGAGAGGTGGCCGTCGACGCGCTGCCCTACTTCGACCAAGGCTACGAGGCCACCGGCGTGAGAGAGGCGGTGAGTGGGGCGCCGGTGGGCGAGCGAGGGGTGAGGCGTATGGGGTAAGGAGCTGAGCCCCTCCTGTCTCTCTCTCTCTCTGCAGGCCGGGGCGCTGGTCGAGGAGGAGACGCGGCGGTACCGGCCCACCAAGAACTACCTCAGTTACCTGCCGGCGCCTGACTACGGCGCTTTTGAGGTGAGGAAGGCCTGACTGGGCCGGGCTTGGCCTGCTTGGGAGACCGGTTTGCAGCTTCCTCATCCCTCATGGTCAAGGATCAGGAGAACCTCTTAATTATTGTAGGGCAGGAATAGGCAAACTTGGGCCTTCTCTCCAGGTGTTTTGGAGTTCAACTCCCACCATTCCTAACAGCCTCAGGGCCCAAGTTTGCCCATACCTGTTGTAGAGAGCTGTTGTTTTGGACTTCAGGTCCCGCAGGCATGGGCAAACTTGGGCCTTCTCTCCAGGTGTTTTGGAGTTCAACTCCCACCATTCCTAACAGCCTCAGGGCCCAAGTTTGCCCATACCTGTTGTAGAGAGCTGTTGTTTTGGACTTCAGGTCCCAGAATACCATATCAAGTCGCAAGGCAGCAGGGGCTTCTGGGAGTTGAAGTTCAAAACATCAAGAAGACTAAGAGTTTGGGAGGCACTGCTTTGGAGATGCCCAAGGATTCCCACTTCTATGCAAGGCTATGTGTCTCTTTAGAAATTATGGAGGCTTTGGTGTAATATTATTATTACGATGTTTATTTATACCCTGCTTTATCTCTTGACAAAGGATACACAAAACAACAAAATATCTATTTATTTACTGTATTTGTATACCGCCTTTCTCAGCCTATCGGCGACTCAAGGAGGTTTCCAACAAAACAGTATACACAGTATCATAGAACATTTTAAAACATTTCAATTACATAAACCACAACAACAATAAAAACAACACCATTAGCGTCTCCTTATTGTCAAGCATTGTCCATTTCCATCGTCAATGGTCCATTCCTATATCATTTATCCATATCCGTTACTCTGTGTTTGAGAATGCTTGCTCAAGCATGTTTTGACTTGCTTCCGAAACGTGAGGAGGGAGGGAGCAGATCTAATCTCTCTAGGGAGGGCGTTCCATAGCCGGAGGGGGGGGGGGCACCGCTGAGAAGGCCCTATCTCTCGTCCCCGCCAAACGTACCTGAGACGAAGGCGGGACCGAGAGCAGCGCCTCCCCGGACGATCTCAAGGTCCTTGATGGTTCATAAGGGGAGATACATTCGGACAGGTAAGTTGGGCCAGAACCGTTTAGGGCTTTATAGGCCAAGACCAGCACTTTGAATTGAGCCCGGTAGCAAAAAAAGAAAGAAAGAAAAACATCTCCCCAAAAGGTTCTTTAAGCACCTTGTTGTTACATTTATTTTCACCCCGCTTGCATTTCCTAAACGAACGCAATTAAAAAACAAGTGAATGTTTTTATGTTGAATGTTTTTATATTGTATAAATGCTATTTTAGATTGTAAGTCGCTTGGAGCACCTTGGTGGAGAGCGACTAATTAAGAAATAAGGTGAAGTGAAGTATTGTGGCATAAGCCTTTTAGGAACCATCTGCTGAGACAATGAAGGATTTTATTTGTGATGTAATATTTCCTTTTAATGAAATACTTAAATGTCTTATAATAATAAAGTAAGAAAATTCAGAGGTTTAAATGGGCACTTTTAGGGTAATAAACTGCATGACTTGACTAATATAAAAGCCACCAATGTCAAATGGTGATAATAAATAATAATAAACTTTATTTATAACCCGCCACCATCTCCCCAAAGGAGACTCGGGGCGGCTAACATGAGGCCAAGCCCAAAAATAATACAACCCAATTAGACACAAAACAACAGAGAAATACATCATAACAAAATATATAAAATAACAAATAAAATAAATAGTATAAAATAGCATAGTAAAATCAAATACAAAGGGCGGGCCAAATGTATGAGATAAAATGTTAAAAAGTTAAAACCCTGGGTGAGATAGGAATAAAAATAAGTGTATTTGTGAGAGAGGAGCCCAAGAAGGAGGAGCAGTGGAGTTTTGGCCGTTATAAAGGACAGGGGAAGGTGCTTTATCATGAGGACAACTGTAGGTGGAAACAAATTGGTTGAATGGTCTCTCTCCGAAGGCACATTGGAAGAGCCAAGCTTTTAGATGTTTCTTGAAGGCTGCTAGGGTAGGGGCTTGCCTGATCTCCCCAGGTAGCGAGTTCCAAAAGTGTGGGGCCACAGCGGAGAAGGGCCTCTCCAGAAGATTGAAGAGATCATGTAGGTTTGTGGTAGGAGATGCAGTCACAAAGGTAGGTGGGTCCCAAACCGTCTTCTAATTATGTCTTCTAATGGAAAGAGTATCCATAATGTATGTATGGAGACGCAAAAAAACACCTTCTCTTGAAAAACTTCTGGGTACTGTTCCATTATCTGGATAAAGGCCAAAAGCATTTCAGACTTTGGATCATTTGAAACTATGTCAGGAATCTATAGGAAGGTACAAAAAGGGTCTCTCCTACTGTAAGTAGTAGCTATGGTTGATAAAATAGTGTTTTGCCATTGTCCATGTCCATGTATGCATTTAAATTAGAATTGTCAAAAGTTTTTCGCAAGCAGTCATAATTACAATCTTCCATGCAACATCTTCCTGGTCTCAGCTATTCCCTGTAAATTTGATTCATAGACTGAAATAATGCGGAATGAGTTTGAGCGTCTTGCAGCCCGGCAACCCATAGAACTGCTGAGTATGAAGAGGTAAGTGTTAAATTCTGAAGTAAAGTGCACCATCCATGCTAAGGCAACATGTTGAAAAATCCAAGGATTGCGTAATCCAAGGATTGCATATACAGACTGAGACTTTAGGAAACAATATTTTAAAAGCGGCATTCCAATTCTGGCCTCATGGTGTCAGTCTACTCTTCTGAAATAAGAGGATAGATCTAAAGTTTTGTGCCTTAAGCATTATTTTATTGAAGACAGTCAACTTTGAGCGATACTTGTGCAATTCGGAAAGCATATGTCTGTTACTGTAATCTCAATTTTTAAATAATATTTAGTTCGTAAAGCGTTGTTGTTCAAAACTGATAATTTGTATTTTTTGGTAATAAAAATGAGTCACAATCAGAATTAATGTCGCAAATCTGTTAAAACATCAAATATCAAATATTTTTGTTTGAGGGCAGTGGTCTTTCTTTTGCTTTGGCTTCAGGTATGAACTGCCTGCACCCTCTTCTGGGCAGAAGAACGACATTACAGCATGGCAAGAATGTGTTAATAACTCAATGGCTCAGCTGGAACACCAGGCAGTTCGTATTGAGAATTTGGAGTTGATGTCTCAGTATGGCTGCAATGCCTGGAAAGTATATAATGAGTAAGTTTTTCATGGTCTCCAGGAGTTGCTTGAAAAGCTTTGGAAGGCAAATATACCACAGCTGCCTTTGGTACATTTACTTTCCAAAATGATAGTCAAAAGGTGTGGAATCCTGAAGTTTTTGGAGGGTTACATGATTCCCACGCCACATTTATCATTGTTTCCAGTTCTCTGTATTGTCGTTGCTGCCTTTTCTACGCCTCAATATGATTATGATGAGCTACTAGTTTGAAAAATATTAAACCACCGTACTCTTTTGGCTGTATAATGGAAGGTGTGACACATTTTAGTTATTGAGTTATTAACTTATTTGTTAGAAACCCATATTTCAAGTCAAGAATAAGTATCTTGTTGCTGATTTTTAAAATTAAATTCATTCATTTAAACATGTTTAAACTGGGAAGATTCAACAAACATTTGTGAGAACACAAATCCAGTTTTATGGGGAGGGGGTTGAGAAGAAAGGAATTTAATAAATGCTAGTTATTTCGCATTATAATAATGGTTTTGTGATTACTGACTTTCACCTGTATAAAATGGTTTGTTTATTCGACATTATGTTAAAGGAACACTATTATTACAAGTTAATGGAAAAACTAAATAAAACTTAAATATGACTGCTATGTGTCAAATGTATTTTTATTACATTTATTTGATTCTTTTCATTCTATGTACAAAAAAGTACAGTTCAGTTAAAGGTAAACAGGAAAATTGAGTTCAAAATCTGATTTTGGTTGACTAGCAAGGCCCTATACGTATGTGAGTGAATGTATATCAGTGGCCTACTTTACTTCTTTGTTATTAAATATTTATTTTATGTATTCTTTATTTTGCAGACATTTAGTTCATATGATTGAACAAGCACAGAAAGAGCTACAGAGTTTGAGGTAAGTTCAGCCTTTTCTGTCTGACTTGGAATAATTAGGATTTCAATGTATATCAGTTTTGCTTGATATATATAGAGAGAGGTGGGGGAGAGAACAGTCTATATATATCTTGAATTCTATATTTTTGTATTCACAATTTGCTTTCATTTTGGATCATGGGAGGCGTGGGTTTATTGCATATATTTTGCACCTTTCCAGAAGTTGCTGAATTACAGTTCTCCTATCTGGTTTATTGCGACATGTACTAAACCTGCTAGTAGGTGCAGGTCAGATTCTGGACTTCTACTGGCTAGAATCTCATTAACCCTAGCTTAGGTGTATTACCAAACTTAGACATTCATTTAGATCTGATTAAATCAAATTGTTCTAATTTGCTCATTATTTCTCAAAATATACTTGTTTTCAGCATGGCTTTGGGTATGGGGATTGGTCAAGGTGGCAAAGTGGAAGGGTCCTGACTCTGTACACTTTCTAACAGTGATTTTCTTGATTGTATTTTTCTTCCAGAAAACACATTCAGGACCTTAACTGGCAGCGGAAGAACATGCAGCTCACAGCAGGTGCTAAACTTCGGGAGATGGAATCAACGTAAGTAGATAAAACTTAACAGTGCAATTTTTTCTGTCTCTAGAAGCTCCTCAGTAAACATATCTGTGTTACTCAGTTGAGAAGCAGCAAGACTAATTCCTTGACTTGTGTACTTTGTTTTGTGATTGAAGACAGTGCCATTGCAGAACTGATCTTTATGTGTGTTATCATAGAGAGTTTAGAAGAGCAGTGCTGTTTCTACAGACGAAAAGAAAGCTCAAGGAATATATATTTTTAAATCTATCACAGCTGAAAGTTTGTGAGTTCTTCAGAAAAGATTTCTTTAAAATACCTCATATTCTTCCTATAGTAACAAAGCAGAGTTACGTTAGCTTGAGCTAACACATATAGTGTACAACATTGGAGTGTACCAAGAAGCACATCTTGTGCTCTTACCCCAAACAGTTGCAATTACAGGCATCATACATGTGTTTAAATATGTCCATGTTGCCTAATGAGAAATACTGGATTATACACTGGTCTGCTGTGCCCTATATACTCTAGTGATAAACCTTTTTTCTGGTTTAAATCATGAGTAATCACGTTTACATTAAAAACAAATTTTGTGAGAAACAGAACGACATCTGCAACAAAGGTCAGAGAGATAAATGGGTCTTTAGCATGAGAATGAAAAAGAGTGACAAGGTATCAGTTTTTGCATTCACCTGCTTTGCATAGCTTTCCACTTCTGCTCATTACTGATTCTATAATAATTTTGAAACCATCTCGTCCTGTCTTTTCTCATCTTCCTTTCTGTACATATATATTAATGTTAAACATCTGCCTTGGTTTTGTTCCCCTCTAGTTGTCGCCCTCTTTTCCATCCTATACATTTCCCTCCCTATTCAGAATCTTTTTAGTATCCCATTTACTACCATCTGATGTTCTTGTTAATGGCATCACTTTAAGGAAACAGTGATTTAAGTATATTTTTCTGTGTTTTCCCTCCAGTTGGGTGTCTCTTGTCAGTAAAAACTATGAGATTGAACGAACTATTGTGCAGCTGGAAAATGAAATTTCTCAAATTAAGCAGCAACATGGGGAAGCCAACAAAGAAAACATCCAACAGGACTTCTGAGACTTGCCTTGGCCTTATGCTGCCAAACATAAAAAACTGTCTAAAGCCTATTCATGGCTTTTGTTGTAGAACAAACTGATTACGAGGATGAGAGTTTCTTGTTCAGTTCCCAGATTTATGGCATGAACTTTGGGATGAGAGTTGTGCTTTTTTATGGGGTTTGTCTGGATGTTTTGTGAGATATTTGAAAATAAACACTTTTCAATGATGTTTATGAGTAAATACATCATGCTACCATGGAAAAATATTGTTATAAACTTAAAGTAATTAATGATAAAGATTATATTGCAAGTGTAGCTAACACAGAATGCAACTTGACACAGGGCAATGACAAAGTGATATTCAAAAGGTGAATACGTTTGTGTTTTATATTGGCTTTTTGGTCTGGAAATTTAAATCAAATGCAAGTGTGTGCATTTTAAACATGCATGCATGGAAAGAGCAAAAATGTTTATTCCAGGTCATATACAAAGCAGTTAATATATCAACACAATGGCATAATGTGATGGGCTACTTCATGCATCTTTACTTAACACATGAGGAACATCTGTTTGGTTCCTAGAATGTGGGATAGTTTGGGAGTCTGTTTTCATACCATCTTGACATGATAGCTGCTGCATACACTGATAACAGGGCAGTGATACTTGAGGCAGAGTGTGGAGACTGGTAGTGTGTACAATTTTGTGTGCTTGATCTTCAAATGTCACTATAATGGTGAACATTTTTGATGGCATGCTGCAGTATTCTGCAACCATGCTGGGAAGAATTCTCGAGTTACATTGGAGCAATAACCATGGCCTTGAGAAATGGTCAACAACTACTAATAGATAATACTTATTCAACATATTGTGTAATGTAATGAAATTGATTTTGGTGGGTCAGGAGCTCATGCATCTGACTCCTCAGCTGATGATCCTACCAATGGAAGAAGTTGCCAAGATGTGTATGTCACAGCAGTTTCTTTTTTTCTTTACATTGCTAGTCAGTTAGGAATCATGGACAGGAAGTGCAGCAGTTTTGTTGTTCTGTCACTGCAAGTATGTGTTCTGATTTTATATTAACACAGCAGTTTCTTTTTTTCTTTACATTGCTAGTCAGTTAGGAATCATGGACAGGAAGTGCAGCAGTTTTGTTCTGTCACTGCAAGTATGTGTTCTGATTTTATATAAACTACAAACAACACAGTTGCACATGCTCCTTATGAAAAGATGATGGCCAGTGAAGAATATTTTAATCAAAGCTCAAATTTTCTAATTGTGTCAATTTGATGTTTTCTGTACTTTATCATAGTGCTGAATCTGCATCATTTATCTTCAGTATTCTGTGGGAATATTATTTACTTTGTATAAAAGAAACAAGTCTGAAAGAAAGCTGAGTTATAATAGGTCAGGTTTGTGGAATTTTTCGTTCCTTAAAACATTGGCAAGGAATTAATATGTCAAAAGGGAAGATCATGACAAACAGGATGGAAATATTGCAAGCACAGGTTGCTGATGCACAAGACAGGAGACTAAGAAGTAGAATAAATACATGGGTAATGGGGAAAGATAGGCATCTTTCTGAGGGCCAAAAATGTAGGGGAATAAAAGGAGTTGACTTGAAATGTTCACTTTGGATAGCTTGTTTGCCCTTGTTCTAGGAGTTGCTGATGTTACACCTACAAGGNCGGGATCGAGAGAAGGGCCTCCCCAGAAGATCTCAAGGCCCTCGTGGGCTCATAGGCCGAGATGCGGTCCGAGATGCATGGGGCCCAAGCGTCAGCAAGAGGCCCCAGGTGGTGAAGAGGAGGGGAAGATGGAGGTAAGGAAGGTGAAGGGCAGCTCTTCTTCCCCCCTCACCCTCCTTACCTTCCTCCTCCTCCTCCTCTTCACTGCCTGGGCCTCGCATGGAGTCCAAGTGGCAGCAAGAGGTACCAGGGGGCGAGGAGGAGGAGGAAGAGGAAGGTAAGGAGTGCGAGGGGTGGCTCTTCTTTCCCCCTCACCCTCCTTAACTTCCTCATCCTCCATATCTTCACTGCCTGGGCCTCTTTCTGTGATGCTGCATTGGGCCCAAAGCAGCAGAAAGAGTCCCCAGGTGGTGAAGAGAAGAAGGAAAAAGAAGGTAAGGAGGGTGGCTCTTCTTCCCCCCTTGCCCCTTTTTACCTGTTGCAACACAGAGCAGGAAACTGGACCCTAAGACAACAATCCACCACACTTGACTTCAGGAAAAAACAATCCTTTTTATTGATGAAAGATGAGTACAAAAATAGAGGGAAAATGCAAGGTAAAAAGCCACAGTAAAAATCAGCAACAAGAAATGTCCATGAACAAAATCAAAAACCCACAGTAACACTGCTAAATCCTGGAACCTGTTAGCAATCCACTAACCGTACTTGAAGCACTAGAAAAACTCCTTGGAACAAAGCCACTGGAAGCAGGAGAACTGCAAGAGTCTGCACATGAATCTGAAACGATGCCTGGACTGAATGGGCATCCAGACCAAATGTTTTTAAAGCATAGAAATCTATTTTATGACGTGCTGAAGGCCGTGTTTGCATTTCTCTTAATCTAGCTGACCTCCATAAACTCTGCGCTTCGCCTCTGCTTTGCCAAATCTGCCCCGTCTATCCTCGTTAGAGGGACCAGGTGTCTGATTATCTGGAGCGCTAAAAGGGAGTGAAAGTTCACCACTTGGCTTTGAATCATTCTCATGGGAATTTGGACTTTCGCTTTCCAAAGCAGCAGGATTTTCACTACACAAACCGTCGAGGAGGCTGTCCAGGTCCTGAACCGGTGCTTGGCTGCTGTGATGGTCTGGATGAGGGTGAACAAATTGAAATTGAATCCAGACAAGACAGAGGTACTCCTGGTCAGTCGCATGGCCGAACAGGGCATAGGGTTACAGCCTGTGTTGGATCGGGTCGCACTCCCCCTGAAGACGCAGGTTCGCAGCTTGGGTGTGACCCTGGAGTCATCGCTGAGCCTGGAACCTCAGGTTTCGGCGGTGACCAGGGGAACATTTGCACAGCTAAAGCTTATGCGCCAGCTGCGCCCGTACCTTGGGAAGTCTGACTTGGCCACGGTAGTCCACGCTCTGGTTACATCCCGTTTAGACTACTGCAACGCTCTCTACGTGGGGTTGCCTTTGAAGACAGCTCGGAAGCTCCAACTAGTCCAACGCTCGGCAGCCATGATTTTAACAGGAGCGGAGCGCAGGGAGCATACAACCCCCTGTTGCGCCAACTCCACTGGCTACCGATCTGCTACCGGGCTCAATTCAAAGTGCTGGCGTTGGCCTTTAAAGCCCTAAACGGTTCCGGCCCAAGATACCTATCCGACCGCATCTCTGCCTATGAACCCACCAGGACTTTGAGATCTTCCGGGGAGGCCCTGCTCTCAATCCCGCCTGCTTCTCAAGCACGGCTGGCGGGGACGAGGGATAGGGCCTTCCCGGTGGTGGCTCCTCTGCTGTGGAACGCCCTTCCTACGAACATTAGACTAGCACCATCTCTAATGGTATTCCGCAAAAAAGTGAAGACCTGGCTGTTTGAGCAGGCGTTCCAATAATTAGTGCAATGATTGGTTAATGAACACTGGAATGGAACAATGGATGACGAATCTGGAACATGTTTTTGATGACGAGACGACAGTGAATGGGTATTGTAGTGACTGTTTATTAATTGTGTAATGTGTTAGGTTGTTAACTGTTTTTATACTTATCACTGAATTTTTGCTGTTCGTATTTGTTGTGAACTGCTGTGAGTCGCCTTCGGGCTGAGAACAGCGGTATATAAGTAAGGTAAATAAATAAATAAATCTTCTACATTGACCTCAGAATCACTGACATCTTCATTGACATCAGGCAATACAATCAGAGAGTCAGGTACAGGTTCACACACAGGCTGAACCCCAACATTACCTTCCTCATCCTCCTCATCTTAACTTCCTGGGCCTCTTGCTGGGGCCAAAGCGGCAGCAAGAGGTCCCAGGCAGCGAAGAGGAGGAGGAAGAGGAAGGTAAGGAGGGTTAGGAGGTGGCTCTTCTCTCCCTCCCCCCCCCCCCATCCTCCTTATCTTCCTTACCTGCTTCATCCTCATCCTCCTCTTGGGGCCCAGAAGCAGGCTGCATGTACATAAAATGATTTTAAAAACTCAGGGTGAGATAAAGGAGCAGAATTATTTGTGGGTGAGAACTCGTAGAGAGACAGAGACCTTCGTACCAGGTGGGAGGGTGAACTCCTAGGACAAAAAAAAAACATTGAGGAGAGCAATAGGTTAAGGATATGTAACTACTAGGCTTGGGCGATCAAGAAAAAAATGGTTCTAAACTCATTTCGTATATAGGGGGCACTGGCGATTCGATTTTAAAATGATTTCTGAAATTTTCTTGAAAAAAAGATCGGACCAACATACAAACAAATGCAACTTAACAAACCTACAAAATCTGTCTTGTTTGTAACTTGGGAACTGCCTGTACATGAATGCAGTGGCACCCTCAGGCCCTATGGTTGGGTTTACCCAGATGACTGCCTGGGCATTGTACAAAGAGAATGATGAATTACAAGATAGTATCACCCAGCAAAGTTATTAGGTTGTTTATACTGAGGATGTTTGAGGAGTTATCAGGTGTAGTTGATAATAGATTTTCAAGCAAAATGCGATAGGATACTCATATATTAATGGAATTAGATAAGATCAACAGATAAGCAAACAGAAAATGGTACAAACTGCTACGAATGTACAAAATATAATGATCCCAAAATGTTTTAATAAGATTAAAGAGGATGATATAATGAACAAATCATTCAGGACTTGTGCATTGTAAGAAATCTATGTTAGGCAGCAGATTCTTAAATCTATTTTTAATTCCATTGTTACTACCAGATAAAGAGGAAGAAGCAATCAAGATTTCTTCTTTCTGGTGCATGAGGATGTTTGGGGGGGGGGGGGGGGCAAAGCACTCTCAAATAAAATTTTCTTTCACTTCTTGGATTTCAGGTTTTGCTGTAACATAAAATCTCAGATATGCATTTAGGAATTACAGCATTCAGACAAAATTATCAAATATAATGTTGCAAATATAAGTATCCTAGGTTCTAATTATTTTCAGCATATCACCCTGGGGACAAAAATTCATATTTGGAGAACAATCTTCTCATTTTGAACCCCAACCCCCAACTACACCTGTCTTGTATCCAAATGACTGCTCTATGTCCTTTGGGATTTGAGAAGG